TGGGACACACAATTCTCCTTCAGTCCTCATTGCCAGCGGAGTGACTTAGCCAGTGGCAACTGCTCAGCAGGCTTCTGGCCCTGCTCTTTGATCATCATGATGCTTCAGGACTTCTAATTTACCAGCCCAAATTATGGAAGAACCTGAACCATTACTAGTGTGCTATGCAAGGGAATGCTAGAGGAGGCAGCACAGCATTAGGAAGGAGAAATAACCCCCTCTGCTCTCCAAGAAACTGTCCACTGGCTTAAACAACAGAGAAGCCAACTATAGCGTGAAGGCGTGAGCCCTGCGTTAAGATTCAAAACTTCTGGGGAAATACCCTAGACACTTGCCATCTCCTCCTACTGATTCTGAAAATAAAAACCTAACATTTTGGGATATAAAATCATCATCATTTCATCAACCAGTTTCTGACCATCAACATCAACTGCAGCTTTAAAGAGAGTAGCAGAGAAGTGTAGATTGCTTGTGGAACATTTCCTCATCATCCCCTGTTGCTATTCTCCTTGCGTTGCTGGAGTTTTGTTCTTTCTCCAGTGCTAGATAGGGAAACAGAAAGCTCCCCGTATGTAAGAGAATTTTACTTACAATGGCTTTCAGACACCCAAATGCCCCAGACACCTGTCTCCCAGCCTGAGCAGCTAAGAAAGATGAGCCTTACTGTCTGTGGGAGCTCAGTGCTAGAGAAGTGGGAAGAAAATCCAGGCCAGAATGCCATAATGTCACTTCACAAAGAAATCTGATCATGCTGAGACAGCCACCCCTCCCACCCCCATTTGTAACCCTCTCTGCTGGATTTTGTCTGCCATTTAGCAGCAAAAGTGACACTAAATGCAAGGTTTGGCACAATCAGTGTTGTCTGCAGCTGGAATAGGAGCACGATCAGGCAGATAGTGATATTTCTACTGCTGTATAACCTGGGAATTTAGAATGACCCTGTGCAACTTCTTAAATCTCAAAAGTTTCCCACCATCACACCTAAGTTCAGATAGGTACAGTGGGTGTGAAGCTGAGATGTTCGGCAGGGAGCTGTGTCTTTCCACACCCATTATTCAGAGTGCCTGCTACTGCTGACACCACACAAGATGAGGTGTTTCTTGCTTACTCGGTGGTACTCAAGCTTCACTTTGGGCTGGCACCTCTCACACATCCCAGAGGGTCGTGCACTCCCTCACACTTACCTAAATTCAAGTATGCCTATTACCTGAGCCATGTGGAAGAAAGGAGGAGTGCACCCAAACTCACATCTCCTTTTCCGAAGGCTGCACAGGACAGAGCTTGTGATCCTGTGGTTAGAAAGTATGCATTGCAAAGGCTTCATGCACATGAGAGGAAGGCTGGAAAACGTGCATGAGATGTGAGCTTACAAGACACTGGGCTCTTTGCTCATCCTCTCAGCCAACTCTGCTTGCCCAAAGCTCCTGCTCTACCTCAGGGATTGCATGATCAGTAGGTCCAGTTCTTCCAGGGCAGTTTATACTCTCCATCTCCCTATGCAGCTGTTGAAGCTAAATTACTCACTATAGAGGCTGACACAAAGGTAAGGCCTCTGGCTGGCCAAGACTTCAAGCAATACAAATTTAAAGGCATGAGGAGGAGGAGTGGAAGGAGGGAGGGGCTTCTTAGATTACAGTTGCCTCTGACCCAAGGTCCTGAGCCAAGAGGATTGTCAAGATTAGAAACATTATCTGCATTCAAATCCCACTAGCATTATGGAATCAGAAAATACTGTAAGGGGATATATAAATGCTTGATACTGTAATGAGTAGGGGGCAACTAGCCAACTGCTGTGCCTCTGGCATACTCCATGTTTTACTGCCATATGGGGTTGAAGTATAGGTGTGGGAACATATCTTCACCTACGCACTGGTCAGACTCACCTGCTGCAGTGGAAAGCAGGGAAAGCGAGGCCCTGCATAGCTGGCACTTTCAAAAGCCACCACATAGGTACTGACACCCTGCAAGGGTCTCCTGCCCCCAGGAACTGCCACAGTAGAAAGAGCGAAAGAGCTAAAGAGCTAAAGTCTCATGTTACACAAAGAGTTCCCTGTTGTGAGACAGTGCTCTGAGGACAGCACAGGCTGTACTGCTTTCCTCATTGTCTCATTAGCATGAAGGTCTCAGCAGAGGAGCCAGGGTGCCTGCTTGGCTCCCAGCTCTGTCCCCTCATACAAACATAACCCACAGGCACACACACCCTGTACACATGCATGCTCCTATATACACACACGGTTGCACATCTTCTGTCGGGACGAGCCTCTTCAGAGGGACATCTCTAAACATTCATATCCACAATACATACACCTCCAAGAGACAGTCTTGCTAGACACAGTCACACAAGCCCTGCCACACCAACGGGCACACCTCCAGCATTACTGTGGCCATTTTTGACTACTGAGCACTCCCAGAGTCTCATATAAAGAGGCTTTCATCACATCATCCATGTTTTCTTGACACATTTACTCTTTCCCAGCAAGATCCCACGCTCACAGCTACATGGCTACACCCACACCCCTCCAGACTTACCTTGTGAGAGCTGCATAGTGACATACATGACTCCTGATCAATGCCTCCTCTCTTCCAATCAACCCAACCACTTGTTTGTAGCAGGTGTTGCAGCTTTTCTGCACATTTCTGACCTTCAAACACCCACAAGAAACCTTAACCATCTTCTGTGTGCAGGGGTCAAGAACTATTGGGCTTAAACTGCCCTGACTTTGTCAGGTGCATGGCTGACATAACTCTGAGTAGCTAGATCAAGTATCAACTGGAGTGGTCATGACTGAACAAGTCTTCTTCCCTTGGGATTTCTGTGTTTTACCTCTGATCACAGAACAGCCAGAGCTTCAAGCACTGACTCTGAGGAACCTCTTGCTGGTGTGCACAACTGCCAACAAGCATGCTGACAATGTCCCAGAAAGCTGATGATCCTACAGGCTCCATCCCCCCATCTGTCCAGGAAAGACAGATACCCATAATGGGTGATCTTCTCTCACCACTGCTCACTTGGTGATGTCTAGAGAGCTCACAAGAGGTGTCCATCTCTCACAGCAATATTGGGTGCCAACTGCTCTCAGGTGCTCTGAGATGTACAGCTGTGGCCTGAGCCAGGAGATGGAATGCCAGACCAGTCAAACCAGTACTCAGATGCCTCATCATTGGATATGTAAACATGAATCGGTGCTCTGCCTCATTCAGGCAGTGACCATGGCACAGGCCCCGAACGTGCAGCCTTACCTTTGTTTTAAAGCACTGGCAAAGAGCAAGGAAAGAGCACTGAAATGCCTGTTTCCTGTGTAACAGAAGCACCCCTTTTGCTTCACATGGTGTCCCCTTAAGAACAACAGGGCAGATAGCCACAGGGGGTTCAGGGCTGCAGTGATGCTGTGGAGGGTGGTGGAGACTATGTCCTCCTGGAGGGCTTTGGGACAGGCCTGGGGATGCGTATTTGTTGGAAGGAAGGAAACAACCACATTCTTCATCACTCCCCTTTGCTCAAGCAAGGTCCCTGAGACCTGATCATCAAAGTGTCTGCCACCATCCTCCAGAATTTCGGGGACAGGCTGGGTGCTGAAAGCACAGGGAGCTGGCCGGCCCCATGATGCCCCATTGCACAGGCGAGGTAGCTGCCCCATGACTTTTGCTCCCTGACACCTTTAATTGCTGCTCACTCTCGCAGTGGCCAGGCATAGGCAGAAGCTATTTATAGCAGGGGAGCCACGGGGCCGCATGGTTGTGGTGGCAGCACTGCTGGGTGACATTCAAACTGGCTTTGACTCTGGGGCGAGCACTAAAAGGGGTTGGGCAGGGGGACTTCCTCATAAATCAGCCCTCTATCTCTCTGGCCATGGCTTTTCTTCTGCCCCTCTCCTACCACCAAATCCTGGCAGCTGTGCCCTAATAGGGACATTCCTATCCCAGAGGCCCCTGACCCCTCATCTCCATCATCCCCCACCCTCTGACGGGGTTGGGAGGAGGAACAGCAAGAAGACCAAGGCGTTCATGGAGCAGGAAGGGAGAGGGAGGAGGAAGAGGCTCTTACAGCTGCTTGGTGGTCTCAGAGCATCATTATCACCTTGTATGGTCTGTAGCACACTTGCAGTGGGGCTGTCAGTCACCTGGTGCGTAAGTGGACCCATTTTCCAGGGTCACTGCATCTCTAGGAGCCTATCTGGAATTCACAGGGTCTCACCCGGGGCTGCTCCCACCATGGGGCCCTTGCAGAGCTTCTCTCCTTTCCTCACATATCTATTTTCACAAAACAGGCAGGAACTCGATATCTTCAAGAGGCCCCTTCGTCAAAAATGGTGGGAACAGGGGGCAGTTGTTCAGAGAAGCTGTGAGAGGTAAACACGAGCATGGCTGGGATTAGATGCATTTCTTTAGCGAAAAGAGGGGACCAGGATCTGGGGGGCTACTGAAGCCTGGACAGGAGACATGACTTCAATTATTTCATAGGAAAGTGAGCCTATTTTGGCCACCCCATCGTGTGCATGAAGGAAACATGATGCTGTAGTATCCTGCATCCCATCCAGTTTGCATCCACTGCTGCCTGGCAACATGCATTTCAAGAGTTAAAATGCTGGTGGTGCCCACACATTGCACTCCCCTGAAGGAGGCCAATAAGGCACCAAGGAGGAAACAGCTTTTGCTTTGTGTCAGTAGCACGGGTCTTTTTCTTCCAGCCGTGCCCACTGCTTTAGTGTTCCTGATTCAGTCAGGAGCCCTCTCCCAATGCCAGTCTCAAACAGCTGCGAACAGCATGTGGTAGTGCCAGCAAATCCCTGCTGCAACACAATGGGAAGAAACCCAACCCTTGTGACCTCTGGTTATCTCAGCAGAGAGGCAGCATGTGACACATCCCACTCACTGGTGCTGTTCAAAAGCAGAATATGGGTCACTTGTGTCTGTCATGCCATGCTAGTGGGGCATGATGCCCTTTAGCTACCCTGTGGTGTCAATGCTGCTAATGTTGGGCTCTCTGATTCCTCCCACAGCTGGCAGCTCAGGTCCTGGAGCCCAGAAGCATTGGTTTTGGGATGGTGGACTCCAAGAAGGATGCCAAACTTGCAAAAAAATTAGGTGAGTTCTATGACTGATATTTCTGGAACAGCTTGGAGAGACTGTGGGAGTGATGTCCAACAGCCAGCCCCATAGAGGGCAGCCAAATCCTTGTTACCAGGATGGGGAGGATGTTGGTGGCACTTGCACACTGACTACCTGCCCACTTCACCAAGGGCAGGATCAAGTAGAGGGGTAGGGCTGCGGATGAGAGGGATGAACCCAGAAAGACCCTTGCAGCAAAAACCTTGTTGTCTGAGAGTACCAAAACCAAACTGAATCAAGTGAAAAAGAAAGGCAATTCATGCCGTAGTGATGACAAGGTGTAAGCTCACAGCTTGCTGTGCAGGAACAGTAAATAGATGCTATGGAGTAACTTCATGCTCTTCCTACATAGAGACATGACTGACACAGTGGTACAGAATCAGAACATATGGGGAAATAACATAGGTCCCCAAAGGTCACAGGGTGACCTCTGTCAACAAAAGGGGGAGCCACAGCCTTGCAATGGTTTGGCAGCCAGGTGCCAACTGTTCTGGTTTGCTCCCCAGAGCAAAAGAGGAAACTTGTTCTAAAGGTGGAAAGATGCTGCACTGCCCAAGCATGGACACAGTTGCCTTACAGGGACTGATCCCTTCATATTTTAGCCTACAAAACAATATGGAAATACTATGGCACATAAATAAAAGAGCACACAAATATACCACTAGGTTTAATGTCAGAGAGTGTTTAGACATACCAGAGTGTAATTTTCTTTCCTAAATTAGAGGCTGTGTGTGGTAGTGGGAGCTCAACTAAAGACAAGAGCTTTTGCTCCTCTGAGAAGGAACAAACTACCAACCACCTTGACCTGTGGTACTCTGCTGTCCTGCATTACAGGAGGCCAGTGCTGCTGATTTTGGAGCCTCCAATGAAGTGCGGTGGCACTCAGTCCTCAGTGCAGTGATATTGCATTCACATCTGCCTCCTGCTGTCTGTGGCATCTCTCCCATTGGTTTCTAACCCTTTTGCCAAGGCCAGATAAGCCTCAGACAGTTTGAAGCTCACTTTCAGATCACTGTTGATGTTCATACAATCCAGCCTTCTCCAGACAGTGAGCACAACCCTCATGAAAATCCATTTTCCATAGTGACAGGTTGTTAAAATCTGAGCTGTCAGTTAGAGCCCAGTATATACTGCAAGATAGATAGCCAAGATAAAACAAGTTCCTGGTACAGAATTTTTCCAGATGAGGCCAAACTGTGACCTGAATGAAAAGTTCAACATTTGGGAAGAAGTTAGCCCCAGTTCTGGCTGAGGTTTGTTCCTGCGCCATCAGTCAGGAGATTGCTCAGGTTGTTTCTAAGTAGACCAACACAGTTAACTGGCAACTGCATTTTCCCAGACAGTATTGCCGGAATAACAAGCAAGATACTCTGCAGTAAAAATGCTTTTAGTGACATGTTAACCACGTTATGTTTCCTGTCTCCTTCTTTCAGGCTTGCTTGAAGAGGGAAGTCTCTATGTCTTTAAGGATGAGCGGCTGATCGAATTTGATGGGGAACTGGCCACAGATGTCTTGGTGGAATTCCTCTTGGATGTAAGCACAGATAAGCTCAGAGCTAGATAAAGCCTCTCAGAGAAGACTTTGCAAATACTGAGTTTGCTAAAAAACACAAGTGTATCTTTGTTTGAAATGCCATCTGTTTGCTACTCACTGGTAGAGATGGCATTTGCCATCTTCCTCAGTACTTGTCTGACCATGAGTTCACAGGGAAGCTAGTATCTTTATATGCTACCAACCTCTTATGTCTTGGAGACATTATGCCCTCTTTCTTGTTTATGGAATATTTGAATGGAAGTCAACAACAATCCCACACTATTTTTTTTTTAAAGAAAAGTTAATTTCAAAAAAAGAATGTTCAAGAAGTAGGATTCGTATAGAGCAACTAAAAAGAGCCTAGTGCATTGAAAAGGCCTTATGCTGCAAACTATTTTCCCATTTCTAGACACATAGAACATAATATCTTTTCAGGCAGCTTCCCAAATTGCACTGCCATGAGTGAGAGAAGGTCAAGGCCCTAGGACTAAGTGCCCTTGGGTCACTTTGTGCACGGGCACAATGATGTACTCACCTTTGTGCCTAAATGCAAAAAAGATGCTGAATCCCCCATCAATATGTTGCACTTCTCTTTTTTTACATTTTATTCCTAGGAAAGGCAACAGCCCAAAACCACGGTCTTTGCTTTGTAATGAAAACATTTTGCGGTGGTTTGGCTTTCCTTTGAAATGAGATTCCTTTATAAGCAGCCATGCAGTAATGCAGATAAGGGAGGTAAGGCGAGCAGTGGAGCTGGCAATGTTTGTTTCCCAGGGTGGCAGGTTGCCTACATGGTCACCTGTGGTGCAGGACTGCCGGTGAGAAGAAGCACAGCCAGGGAAGAGAAACAGATACCTAGAACCTCAGCTCTTCTGTGACAATGTCTGTGGCTGCATGCATCAGGTGTTGTGGCCAAAACACATACTATGGATTCAGGGACAGAAATGGGCATCTGCCCCACTCAGGAGGGCCACAGACAGGTTAGGGCTTTGCCATGACCCTGCAGCAGTGGGATCCCTGGTTCCCATGGCTCAGGCCCCTATGGCAGCAGGAAACTGCACATACTGCTGTGGGTGCAGCAGAGGCACAGCCTCATGTTGGAGCATTGCTCACCAGGAGTGCAGTGTAAGGTGCTTGATGAGGTTTAGCTTGCTATGCCTTGTGGTGTGACGCTGAAAAATCAGGTTCTGTGAAAAAGAAGAGACCAAGGATTTCTATTTGGGCATTTTCCACTCAAGAGAAAAAGTACTTGGCAGAGTAATAGCAGGTAAAGCAGGGAAATAAAACCAAACACATTTGTGATGCCTCAGCAGCCTGATCTGAAACCTGAGGTTCTCTCCGAACCACAGATTCTCTCCTCCTCTGTAGGCTGTACAGTGGCCTGCCTGTTTTTCTTTTCCTCTAGTGAAAACGCACCTGATTTATACCAGTATTATTGGGCAAAATAATCAGACTGAATCTTTTCACCGGCAGTGAAACAAAGTCTGAATCAATGGCAGGCTAAAGTGCCAGATAGGTCTTCCAATTTCCTCATCAACACTGTGATGTGTGTGGGGCCAAAGCCTTGGTTTAAACCATTCTTCATAGGAGCATCAGCCAGGAAAATTCACCTCCAGACTTTCCACTGTTCCAAACCTCTGTTTGGCCACCCTCTGGTGCGCTGATTTTAATATTTTCCAAAAGCAAGTTCTTTGCAATGAACTTTTCTGCCAAATGACACTTGAAAACAAGTATATATAGATATAGGTATATATGTATCACTTACAGAAGCTCACAGTATTCATACCAGCTCCTTTCAACTGCTCTTCCTTCTTCTCATCCTCCCTAAAGCCAGCTGCAATTGCTACCCCTCATCTCTCATCAGAGCAGGTCCCTCAGCATCCATTCAGGTTACCCTGTCCTCTATCAGCCTCCCTCTGGATGCTTTCACCTATGCAGGGAACCTACTAACGTCTCCCTTTGAAGGTGACCCACATCTCTCGGTTCCTCACATTAAGGCAGAGAGCACTAATTAGGGTTTCCAACAGCGAAGAAATTGGGTGACCCCTTTCTCCTCGCTTAGGCTGCTTGTGACCCACCCTACCAGGCATAGATTGGTGTTGCAAATCACTGTGCTATCACATGCATTTGTCATGGCAGTTGCTAGAAGACCCTGTGGAGGTCATAAACAGCAAGCTGGAGCTTCAGGCCTTTGACCAGATCGATGATGAAATCAAACTCATCGGCTACTTTAAAGGAGAAGACTCTGAACGTAAGATGAATATGTTCCTGTGGGGCTTAGAGCCTGGCTGGGGGCTCAGGGGGCCGGGCATTGGTTGTTCTGCATGAACATTGAGGGTGTTAGGGGTATATGGCAGGGTGTGACAGTGAAAATTGATGGAGGATAAGGTGAGGTTGCAGACAAGTTTCTGCTGGTGTTATGCATGAGCCCATTCACACCAACAGCTGTGACCCTTCTGCAAGGAGTCTGCTGGTAAGAGAAGAGGGCCATAATCCAGGGCTCCTAAAGTAAAGTAAGTTTACCTCACCCAAAATCAGCTGAGGTTACAGCTACACTGGATAAGGAAATTCAGTAATAAGTACTTTGAAGAGAAGTGGGAAAACCCTGTTGTAAAGATCTCCTGCCAGGCTGGAACCCAGCACTGTGCTGTTAGGAGTAACAGTAAAAACATACCTTGTTCCTGTAGCTTGTTTCCCCTCCTCCTGCAGCAGGACAAGCATGCCTAATAATGCTTGGTGACTGCTTAGGGAATGGCGGCAATCATTAATGCTGGAGCAATTCCATATATTTCCCAGGCTGAACTACCTCTGGACCTGCTTCACAGGGCTGCTGATTTCAGCCACAGTTAAGTCAGGCTTGCTGGGATCTGTAGTTTTCCTGAGCGCCGTGGAGCTGTGCAGCATGTTGCTCCACTTGAAATGGTCCTTCTGTGTAAACCCTGAAAGGGTGGAAGAAACATAGGGCTATCATCTGTTGGAGTTTGCAATAATTTATATTTGTTCTTCCCTGATGCCTCCTGTGCTGATCAAACTGTGGTCAGCTGTCTGTGAAATATCTTCTTCATTCCCCTTTTCTCCTTCCAGATTTCAAGGCATTTGAAGAAGCTGCTGAACAATTCCAGCCGTACATCAAGTTCTTTGCTACTTTTGACAAAGGGGTAAGCACCCACAGACCTAAATGGGAGCTCATAGATGCCACCACCTGTTTTCTGAGAGCTCAGGATGTTCCCAGATTTATTATCTGGTTCCAGCTTCTCATTTTCAGTGTTCCTGTATTTTGTGGTATTCGTGTCCACATTGGGATTTGGCTCTATCACAAGATAAAAGGCCATTTCTGCAGCATGGAGGGAGGTCCTGGTATGGGTTTGGAAACCAGCTCCACTAGGTCTGCAGGACCTTGAGTCTGGCTTTGCTCTACTCCAGTGCTTGACACCAGTAGTGGAGAGAGCATCAGTGGGTTTTTAACCAAGGAAAGATCCATTCTGTTTAGTGGGCTATCTCTAGGAGTGCACTCTGAGGTAGAACAAGCACCTTGATCTCAGCTCTGACACTAGGAGAGACTCTGGGTAGGCAAAGAGGCACATCAGGCTCCCTCACCTCTGACTATCTGCATTGTAACAGGTTGCCAAGAAGCTAGGTCTCAAGATGAATGAGGTGGACTTCTATGAACCATTTATGGATGAGCCTGTTCACATCCCTGATAAACCTTACACAGAAGAGGAGCTGGTTGAATTTGTGAGAGAGCACAGAAGGTAGGTAGCGTACAGGATGCTCCTGGACAAGGAAAGTGTGTCATTGCAACCTTGCGTCTCTAGGGCAACCCTCTCAGAAAAAAATAGCATGACAACCACCTTTTCCATGATTTGCTGACCCAGGTTGGAGATTGTGGCTGTTTTTTCGCTACTCCCAGAGGTAAAAGTATCTCTGTAGCAATCAGAGCTCACTACAATGGGGCTGTGACAACACAGCCTCCTCTTTCCCTAGTTAGTCCTCCTTCAAAAAGCTGGGAGGCTTGAAAGCAGTGGAGAGTGGAAACCTTGGCCTACTTGCCCATGCTTTTAATTTAGGTCTATATAGAAGATAATCTTCTCCAAGGCCTCTCTAGTCAAATCCAAATCTGTCCAGTCCTATCCTTCCCCAAAACAGCTTCACTAATGGCTATATTCCTCTCCTAATATCAGGTATAGTTGGAGGCAGGCTCTGAGCTTAGACCGAGCTCGGAGGAACTGCGATGGACTAAGAGACTCCTGCTGACAAAGGGCACAGAGAGGCAGCCACTGCTGTCGTGGCTGTGTTGAGCCTCATGTGGCAATGGTGCTGAGCACCTACAGTGTTTGATCAACCCAGCAGGAGTTGTGGATGCTCCATGCTTTTTGCAATCAGGTTTATTGCACAGTTGTTCAGGGACTCAGCTACCAATCTTTTGGAAGTCACCGGAGAGGCTGACCCTGTGGAAAAGGGTGAGGTTAAATATACAGGCACAGCTACCGATAAGGTGCTGTGTTTTTACACCCCTAAAAACACCATGCAGGATAATAGCACAGTTAACCTGCTGCTCCTGCAATAGCATTTCCCAGCAGACATTCAAGGGACCAGGCCAGAGTTTGAGGAAAGCAGGGCCATTGAATTAGAGGGGGATCTCAAATTGGGCTCCACTGGAGGTTTGTGTTCACCCACAGAGGGTTTAGAGACAGAAGATCATCTCTGGAATCCACAACTCACCAGACTTGAAAACAGAGCTCTGCTTTTTATGAAACATGAAAGGCTCCTCTATCTCCCATGTACTTGCAATTCACTTTGCTGACCTCCGGGACTTCTTGACCTCAGTCCTTTCCATCTTTTTTTTCCAAGCTCTTTCTGTCAAGCAGTAGCATCAGGAGGCTGATTAAGCACAATCAGCTAAATGCTAGCCTAATAAGGCAAGCTCTCCACCACCACAAAATTGCAGTGGAATGCCCTGAAGTCTTATATATTTAAAGATGCTACGTGGTCCTTGCTAGGATCAAGGGGGTGGACCATGCATTTTGCAAGTGCCAAGGCTCAGAAGAGAATTAAAAGGAGTCTTGTAAAATCGGATGCCTGAAATCCCAAACCCACCAAGGTGCTGCTGTGGCAGGGGAGGAACCCTGGGGTGACAGTGATATGTTCCTAGCAGTTAATGCTGAGCCTCTCAGAGCAGAAGTACTTCTTCCTGCCTTGCCACCAATAAAGGACCTAAAGCCACAGATGGGAATTAGTCAGACATGGAGATGATCAGACCTGTAGACTAAAATGAAGTAATCTCAGCAGCTGCCACATGCTGGTTCCCTGTAGGCAACTTGGCAGGGTATTCTCTGCAAGAAGGTATAGAGGACCACTGACCTCCTCCCCCTCACACAACAGATTTTCTCCCTTCATAGGCATGGACTAACCCCCTTCTGAGGTGCAACGCCCCACTGCCACCTCACCATCCCACTAAAGGACCCATGTCATATCAATGGGGAAAGCTACTACTGGTCAGCAGCATCCAGGCTCTTTGTCATGCCTTAAAGAGCCCTTACAAAAATGGCTCCCCACTACTGTGCCCAAGCAGGCTTCACTATCACTTCCTCCAGAAACTGGGATTTGCTGCGCTTCTATCGCAGCCTCAAGACAGGATGTGAAGCAGGTGCCCAGGAGGAGCCCACACACAGCCTCCCAGCTGAGGCTTCTCCAGGCAGCTGCAGACTGTGGTGGGAAAGTTCATCCTCTCCTAAGCAGGTCAGAAAGTCAGTGTTCAGCATGGTGGCGTGACTTGTCCAAGGCTGCACAGCAGATGGGTGTCCATCTGGGTGCAGAGACCAGGCACTGGGACTCCAAGGTCTCAGCCCAGATTTTGCTCCCAGTTGCACAAAACCAAATTACACAGTAGCTCCTCTGCTTGCAGCAAGAGGCCTCTGGGTTTATGCCTGTTTCACATGCAAAATGCTGGGGTTGGACCCCCAGTTCTCTGCAATTGTGGTGTAGCAACCTGGGGGACTGAATTCTGCTCCCTCTTACTTAACAAAACCCCACTTACTTCACTCCCTCCAGCATAGGGAGGTATCCAGAGCAACAACACAACAATCAATACCTGTGGGTGTGATCAAATCCTTCCCACTGAGTTTCCTTTCCCCAAGTGCTTCCCTCAGAGAACAGCTTAGGGAAAGTATCTTGAAAGCCAGCTACAATTATGCCTAAATACGTAATATGCTTTCACCTGATATAACCTCTGGGTTTGGACTATTAACATTGAGAGGATTGCTGGGTCAAAAATTGTATGTCTTATTGGATATTTCTTCAATTTCTATAGTAGTTTCTACCTTATTTCTATTTTGATGCTGAAAATACCTTACTGTAATGAGTTCAGCAGCTGAATTATGCATTGCATCAAAAGACCATTCCTATTTGTTCAGTTTATACCTGCTACCTAATAATTTCTCTGGACACCTACTAACTCTTGTGTCAAGAGGAACAATGACTAATACTTTAGGTAATCTGTAGGGAGAGAATTGCAGAATATTCTGAGTTGAAAGGAACCCACAAGGATCATCGAGTCCAACTCTTAATTGAATGGCACATACGGGGACCAAACCCATGACCTTGGCATTATTAGTGCCATGCTCTAAGATATTCACTTTTTTTACCATTCTTGATTTTTTAGACCTCCTGCCAAATCCCTCTTCTGTCACCTCCTTTACAAGATAAAGAATTCTTATCTATTTAATCTTCACCAAATAGAGATCATTCTACACCTTCACTCATCACTACCACGTTTCCATGTGCCTTTTTCAGTTGTTCACGTCATTTCTGTGGTGGGATGACCAGAACTACACATACATTCACTGTGGAGGTGCACAGTGTAGCTCTCCATTGTCATAAGGGTATGATATGTCCTTCTCCTTAGTAATTTCCCAACTGTTTGTAACCTTCTTTTTGCCATTTTCCTTTGGAGTTGATGCTTTCTCAATTTGTTACAACTTGCCCCCTTTCCTGAGAGGCAATAATTAATTACAACTAATTTAGAACCCACTGTTGCACCTGTATAATCAGGGCTGGTTTTCTGCAAGTGTGTTACTTGCTATATGACTGTTTATCATGCAGACACTCAAGTTTCAAGATATCCCTCTGTATCACCTCTGTTGATCATCAAAGAATGGATATGATAAGCAAATCTTCCTATTTCCCATCTTTTTCAGACTATATGAGAATATGTTATGCATGTGATCATGCCAAAGAATATGCTCTCAATTGGTTAATTTCCTCTGTCATGAAAACTGAACGTTCATCTTCACCCTTCAACGGTATTAATCCTCAGGAGGATCCTCTCCTCTGATCTAACTGCAGCTCAGTTTCCCTGAGAGTCTTTAATAACGGATCTTGTCCAATGGTTCTCCGAAGGCCACTCATCACATTCACCACCATACCTTCCCCCACTTGTTGACTTGCTCTGGGAATTCCAGAGCCACAACTTTCCTCCTAAAGGCCAAGCATCTCTTGTGCAATCACATTATGTTCCTTCAAAGGTCTCTTAGCTCTAACTTTGCTGGTAGCACTGTGCTCGTAAGGAAGTCACCCTTCCAGATCTATGGCTCCTCAGGTCCTTTAGGAAGCTCTATAAAATGCTCTTGTTGCCACTGCTCTGATAGCAGGGCAAACTGAAGTGACAGGTTACACATCTCACTTATGTCACCTGGTTCTGGCAACACACTTCTACTTCCTTTACCAATCTGTTCTAAAACCTCATAGACTGACACTTCTCTTTGCAACAGGTCCTGGGGCAGGTCAGCCACAGAGACCAGCTCTTCTGGGGGATCCTTCCTGAACACCTGATGTCATAGCAAGCAGAGGTGCAAAGGATGATTTGTGCTTGTCTTCTCTGACGAGCTTCCCGCTATGATTGTGTCTGAAAATATTTGCTCTTAATTTTTTGGTCTTTTATGAACTACTTCTCAAAAAAATTTGCTTTGACTAGTCTTAAGGTTTAAATTTTCTTCTCAGTGATTATTAGAATATAAATCTTTTTCACAGAGGTTATTCTGTCTTCTTTGCGTCAGCAGAGGTTGGAGGGATTTCTGTGCTGAAATTATACTGGGGTAAAACCAGGAGAAAACAGGGACAAAGCCTGTTAGGAATGTCCCAGAACAGAAAGACAAAAGTGAATGGGTCACCTCGTGCTCTCAGCACAGACAGAACAATCTGCCATGTGTGAGACTAATTCACCAGCACATCCCAGCATAGAGAGGCATCTCATCTTCCCAAGCATAAGTAATGGTTGCAATGACTCCAGTGGGGCCAGGGGCAGGATTTTGTCACCATAAGTAAAAGCATAAGTTGACCTACAGTGACCCCACACTTGCATTCAAACTGTGGCTTATCCAGCCACAGTCAAATGTGCCATGGTGACCATTTCTGTGTTTCTGGCAGCATCACGTGTGACAGTGCTGGATATGTCCTCAAAGAGCATTTCTGTCTTCCTTTCAGGGCCACCTTGAGGAAGCTGCGCCCAGAGGACATGTTTGAGACATGGGTAAGCACATGAGGGTGGGAAGCCCTGTGTCCCCTGCCAGCTTTCAACAAGGAACTGCTGCCCAACTCCAGTCTCTGGCTGGGCAAAACACTATCTTTCCTTCCTTCCAAAGCTACTTTCTTTCTTCTCGGAAGAAGGGAAGGCCTTGGCTGTGATGCCTAGCGCCTGAGTTCAAACAGTGTGCTCAAATGCTTTGCTCAATGCTCAGCGGTGGACAGCTGAGCTGGGTCCTGTTTGCTCCACAGATGGAAGAGAGAAAGCCAAGCAGTTTGCCAGGCAGGTGTTGTGCCTGTGTAGGGACCATGACAGAGCTGTGGAGGACGTTCTGCTGCAGGATGCTCCATCTCAGCTAATGGATATCAGTGTTGGTAGTGGGAAGATTTCAGTGGCCTGCTTGCTGGGTGAGCTGCACAGATTGTACAGGTGTCTCATGGAAATTCACAGAATCATAGATTGGTTTGGGTTGGAAGGGACCTTAAAGATCACCTAGTTCCAACCCCCTTGCCATGGCAGGTACATCTTCCACCAGATTAGATTGTTCAAAGCCCCATCCAAGCTGGCCTTGAACACTTCCAGGTATGGGGCATCCACAAATTTTCTGGACAACCTGTTCCAGTGACTCACAACCCTCACAGTAAAGAATTGATTCCTAGTATTAAATCCAAATTCCTAAATCTAAATCTACCCTCTTTCCCCCTCACCCTGTCACTACATGTCCTTGTAAAAGTAACAGAGTAGTTGTACAATTCAAAATGCAAGTGAGGGCAGGCAGTACATTTAATTATATAGATTTCAAAGCAGATGATGCATTGATTGCACTTCTTATGGTGTATGCAAGCTGCAAATCAGCAACTGTGAAGAAGTAACCAGCAGTTTAGCCCCTATCATACACAGAGGACTCTCCTGGTCTGCAGGGTTGGGGAAGAGGGGAAGAGTGAAAATGAAAGAAAAATTGTGTATAACAAGTTATCCCTTCACTGTGAATGAGTAAGATGTTAAAAGCTAGTCAGGGACCCCCAAGTCCCAGATGAATGCTGAAAAACAAAGCTGAACAGGTGCTTTACAGACACTAAGGAAGATGCAGTCATTCCTCCAGAAGGCTTGACATGTTTATAACAGCATATTCAGATGTTCCCTTGCTTGGCTGTGTAACATGAAATGCTGCGAGACTCTGAAGTGGCAAAAACCTTGGGAGTCCTTAATACAACTAGCAAGAGATAATAAAACTGAACCAGGAGTTATGAGTCACTTAGGCATGATAGCTTTTCATTTTGTTTTGAAATACAGACTCTGTATAGAACATAGCTCCCAAGATCTATTGAAGCCCCTCCAAGGTTTTTAACGGAGCTTCAGTGAGACCCAAATTTCACTTTCAAACTGAACATATTCTAAATTAGCCTCAGGAAAAGCATGAATTCACAGCGGTGGGACGTTTCTTTACCAGCAGCCTGGGAATACAGAGCTTGCCTCCATTACAAGCAGGGGACTCATACCTACAGAAGACAGAGGGCTGGATTTTGATCTCACTGGAAGTTTACAACATGCTCAATGCCTTCACTGGAGTTAGTCCAGTTTTGTTTACTGCCTTGGAGGTCAGAATAGAGCTATATTATATAGCTATATACACATAAATATATATGGCATATATACATACTTCTTATTTTACTGTCTGACAATGCTGCTGGCAAATATGAAGAAAAAGTAACAGTGCAGATTTTGCCAGCTGTAAGTGGTCTGAATTCCAAGTAAATCTGCCCAGAATGTCCCAGTGAAAACATATTCCCTGAAGACATCCACAAAGGCTCAGCATCCGCTATTGTTTTTAAAGATAATGTTTTCCACTTAATCTTTCAGGGGCTTTTTCCCTTTCAGTTTTTGATGGTGGCTTTGTCACCTCTGGGCTCAGAAGGGAAAAGAAATTAGCATTTAGATGGGAATTTTTTCTTGCATTAAAACCAATTGAAATGGAAACCGGGACCGACAGCGGGTGAGGAAGGCGAAACCGATCCATGGGATAATTCAGAGATGACATTCATAGCAGGCGGATGATGAACCGGCCAGCAGATCCATTGGCCTTTGCCAATATCATTACCCATTACTCATGTGTCTCATGGAGAAAAGCAGCCTAGCAGGCTGTCATTTCTGTCCTCCAGTCATTGGAGCCCTGAAATGAGCCCCCCACTCAATTCTTCTCTCTGCTCATAGAGAGCCTCACCTAAAGCAGAGACCCTTCACCTCCCAAAAGGGGTCCAAATGAGCCACCTTGCCTCTCATATTGTGAGAAAACCTCCTTTGCTGGCCCCTGAGGAGCATGTTCTGTGACTGAGCATGGTGGCAGATACTTGTTTCCCTGTAAACTATCCCCTGGGATCTGCAAATTGAGGAGGGTAGGTGGCCTCAGGCACGAATGGGAAGCCTATATTCCCATGCTAGAGAGCCCTTGACCTTCTCTGCAGACAAACTTTTGCCCCACACCATCAGAAGCTCCCTCACCTTGGCCATCATGGTGCACACACATTATTTTTAACTGAAGAGTTTCAGCAACACTACTCAAACTACCCACTTCAGCACCGAATACCTTCATGACTCGGCCTCACCTCAGCTTCCATTTCTGTGGTCTCAGTGGGGCTCCAGTCAAGCTTCCATTTGCAATTTTCTTGTTTGTTTGAAGGCATCCCACTGCTCTCAATCTCCAGCAACTGCCCGGACTCTGCCCTCCCTCCCTGGCCCATCAGTAATGGTTTTGTTGTTTCCAGGAGGATGACATGGAGGGTATCCACATTGTAGCCTTCGCTGAAGAAGACGACCCAGGTAAAAGACTATTTTCTTCGTTGTGTGACTCTTCATCCCTCAAGGAAGTGTATTTTCTTGTGCTTTTTTTGCATAGTGGAGCCTAGCACCCTGGCTGGGATGGGGAGCCCCAGCGTGATGGGATGGGGAGCCAGGATGCTTCTGGGTGTTTACGGTAGCAGGCATGCTAGCTGGGATTCAAATTTTGGATATAAATGGATGACTACCTGGGAAAAAAAAGTCATCCCCTCCACCCAGCACCAGAATTTTCTCCCTAACTCTGCATTCATCTTGCTGTGTGAATCTGGGAAAGTGCTTAGGTCTGGGTGTGTGATAGGTATGTGGGAAACCAGAGGCCACAAACTCCTGAAAAGCCGTGGCATCAATGCGTCTCAGAGCCATCAGCATGTCGAAATGTTTTGGCCTCTTGGGGGCTCAGTTCCTCCCTCATCACAAGAAAATAGTGACATTGTTCCACTCCATGGAAGGATTATGAGACTTAATTCATGTGTAACTAATTTCAATACCCGGGGAGGATGCCTGAAATTAAAAGCTTTATTATCGAAATAAAGCGCTGGGAGACAGCATTTTAATGAGAACTATAAACAACTCCTGTGTGCATAGGGGAGCCAGGGAAGCTGGAAACCCCACGAGCAAAAAGTGCCAGTGTGTTTGTAGGAGAGAGTTACAGCGGTTCATGTATCATTTCAGATGGTTTTGAGTTCCTGGAAATCCTGAAGCAGGTTGCCAGGGACAACACAGATAATCCTGACCTGAGCATTGTCTGGATTGACCCTGATGACTTTCCTCTGGTGAGTGGCAGAGGCTCCTTGCCTTTCTTGGTTTAATTTGTGGATGGGGTGGGTGTGGGGGTGTCTGTGCATGTGCACACACAAGTGCAGGAATCGCCATGGGAATTCAGGACAGGGAAGGATGGGAAACTGGACCACAGGCAATCCCCTTGAGAGTTTGTTGTTTGGGTCTTTTGGGTCTGCCTCCCATGAAGGTGTTATCTTGGGAACATTCCCAGAGTTGGCATTTTCCTTTGCCAGGTGTGGCAACTCAAGCTTGTGTTCAGCCTCTCTTCTCTCCCATGTACTTGTCAATGCACGTTCCTCGCACCACAGCTCAGTTGACTAAACTAGTGCAAGGGGGCATTGCAAACATCTTTTCCTGAGCTTTTTGTTTCTCACTCCTGCAGCTGATCACTTACTGGGAGAAGACCTTCAAGATCGACTTGTTCAGACCACAGATCGGGGTGGTGAATGTCACAGACGTGAGTAGTGTGTGCCCAGAAAATCCAGGGACCCCAAGATTAGGGTGCTAGAAAGGATGGGACTTGAGGTCCACAGTGGGATTTCTGCTGTTAAGTACATGTAGACCAGGCTTTTGCCCTGGGAAAAAGTGTGAAGACCTCACTATTCCCACGAGCAGTGGAGTTCGTAACAGCTCCAACGTCCGGCTTCAGGGCTTTGGTCTGAGTGTGTTTCTGTTGCTGAGTCACACAGAGACTATATTTACTGAGGACAGGACCAGCCCCTGCGGCCTAAGATTCAGGGCTTTGCCCAGTTTAGGTTTCAAGGTCTCACATTTCCACCCCAAATCACAGCATGAACCTTTATTCATTCCCTGCTGTGACAGCCTGTGTGGGATTGTGGAGGAAAAGTGTGTGTAGGGAGAAAAGAAAGCCATGCTTAGGGAAGAGAAGAGGAGAAAAAGGAGGTTGTTTTTGCAGCAGAAACAGAATGGCACAGCTTGAGCGTAGGAGGGAAAAATGGTCTCCAACAGATGACAGGGAGAAACTGTACAGCTTGAAAAAAACTAAATAAATACACAGCTTTAATAAAAGTACAGCATAAACTGGTAATCGAGGGATCCTACTGTGGTAAAGAGGGTGTGCTGGGATTCATCCAGGCCCTCCTCCTTCTTAGCCACTGGCATGCAGGTAGTGCTAGAGGGATTTGAGTGGGAAGAGGAGACCCACCCGAGCCATACGTGGTGGCAGTGAAGGGTTTCCACACCGTCCCACAGCCAGCAGCACTGCTGAGGGAGAGCTGCAGAGGCAGGTGCTGCTTTGGCACAGCTGCAGTAGTGGTGGTACCCACAGCACCCACAGCACTCACAGCTGTGCCACTGGGCCAACTTTCTAGCAGCTACTGTTTTAGCTATGGCTGCCTTCAAGCCAGCAAGCCAAGGGACTGATGTCAGGTTACCCACACACTGTGAGTTTTTAAGGCAGGTGGGAGAGGGACCCATCTGACCCTCACCAGCAGAGATCTCAGGACAGTTGCTGAGTGCAGTGTAACATGCTTCACAGCCTGACATGACTACAGAGAGAAACTGTTTTCTCCTCAGTCTGACCACAGCAGCCCAGATGATCAGAGAGCACATAATGCAGCATGCTGCAGCCTGGCTCACTTATTACCTGAGTTTATTTTTGGTGGTTAAGTGCTGGGTGTTTTAACCTCTTAAAAATGAACCTGTGTGGGTATGTAAGAGTCTCTGGAAGCAGAAATCTCTCCACTGCAGAAGTGTTTGTAAATTGGTGCTTGACTTCGTGTTTGCAATTTCAGTGTATGTGAACTTGATGTTTCATTAGAAGAGAGCAGAGAGGGATTTAAGAGTTGGGACAAATGTCTGGGGCTGGGTGCTGGTTCTGGCACCACCACTGACCCTGCTTCCAGCCTTCACATCCTCTCTCTTGTATCGCCCCAGAAAAAGAGGGACAGCAAGTGTGTACTGGGCAGTTGCACCTACGGTTAAAGCAGATGCTGTAAGACCATAAGATGGGAGATGGGATGGTGAAGGCAAAGTGGTGGTGTCATGAAGAAGGCAGAGCCCCTGGGTATTGCCCATCCCATTGATGGGGATGAGAGGCCGACTTGGGAGTCACCGAGTGGTTGCAGCGCTGGCTGGATGTGAGCTCATTACCTGTAATAGAGCAGTAATCCTCCAGATCGTGAAGACCCAGTGATTTAAGCCTTGTTAGCAGAATTGTTGAGGGAGAGACAAAAGGGAAGGGGACCAAGATAGCACTTGTCACTTCAGATCATAAGAGGAATGAACAGATAAGCCAAAAATAGAGCCGAAGTCTTCCAGTCTTTTGACCTTCTCACTAGTCCGCAGTACCTTCCTTCATTATATTTACTGCGACTGGTCATGTTTAAGTCATGTCAAAGCTACATTAAACAGAAATCAATGGAAATTCATTGAAGTGGGATTGTCAGAGGCATGAGAATCATATAGAAAGCAGTATTAAGTAAGAACATATGCCTTATTATTCAGCAGTCACTCAGAGACCTGTAAAAACTCATGCATTATCTGGCTTTGATATAGTAAATGTTTCAGGTTGTTGATTATAGTATTTGCAGTTTTTATTTCATTCCTCTTAAGTCTGTTTTTTGTTTCTCAAGAGAGAGATTTAAGAAAGTTCTAGGTTGGTGGGTGATAACTAAAACAAACATTGAGCTCATTTCATTATTTCAGTGTTACATCATAACATTCAGCCAAGTTACACAGGTACAAAGTGGGGCTTACACAACAGAGTAAAAGTAAACACTGCTGTAGGCTTCTGTGGACATAACCCCTGTGACCCCTCCTCTTCTCTAAAAACCTGCCAAAACAAACACTGGAGCTCCCGGCTGCCCCAACTGGCTCATCACATTGTAGTGGCTCAGGACTAGGGCCATGATGCTCTGCTCTGCAAAATATTGCTGCTTTATTTGCACAGCATCTTCTCTAGGTAAAATGGGGCCAGTCCTGTTCCCATTATTTAAATGTGTCACTTTTTTCCACACAAATATTCCTGAGGTTAAGGACAAGATCATTTGTGTGAAGCAAGAGCTGCATGTCTCTCCATTGTTATTTTTTATTTCAGTTTTGGTAGTTTAGGAGGAAAATATTGTATGGGAGAAATAGCTTTCCTTGAGCAGAAATTGGTCTAGAGTTTTAGCAAGCCATAAACCAAAGAGAATTAGGTACCACAGACAGGGAAAGAAGTTGGATGCATTTTCAAAAGCTGGTAGTTTTCTTCTGAGATATGAAGATCACTTGCTTCTACAACATCAAACACCTCACAGCACCTCTGCAAAATAGGATGCTGATCCTGTTTTATGGAAGGGATACAGTGAAGGGAAAGGGGCTTACCCAGGTATTTACCCAAGGAACCTACAGCAAAGCAGAGAGGAAAATCTTGATTTCCAGGCCTCAGAGACCATTCAAGCTATGCTTGCTGTCCCTGGGTAACAGTAATAATTTAGTCATCATCTTCTTACTGAATTCCCCCATCCCCTCTGGTTTATGGAAGTAATGGAGACAGCTGGAGGGAAAGAGCAAGGGGCATCAGGGCATTGGTGGTTTTCACCATTCTTCAACTGTAGCATGGCTGAGATGATCTGAGGAAAGGATCTTCCAAGAGGAGGAACCACTATCGCAGGTGGAGAGTCCAGAAAACGATCCTGAAGCAAAGGTGATGGTAAAAGTTTGGGGAGAAGGAGTGATGACAGAGAGGTGTAAAAGCTCAAAGGAAGAGGTCCCAAAAGGGCTCAGGATGGAAGGAGGGAAATGCTGTGATGTCCTATGAACTGGGGCAATGCAGGGGGAACTGGCACAGTTGGTCTCTTTGAGATCTCTTTATGTAGACTTGGAGTCTACAGAACTCCCCAGACAGAGTGAGGACAATGCCATCGGGTGGACAATGCTCTTGCTCACAGGTGTAGGCAGTGCAGGAGAGGAACAGGCAGCAGTCACACATCTCACCCAGGGCACACAGTACCGCACACCCATGTAAACCTATTGACCAGTCCCACTGCCCTGTACAACAACACTACAGAGAGAAGTGGTAATCCCAGTGCATGGGCCGAGAGGTGCCCTGGTTGAGTCTGCCCACAAGCTGTGGCAGAGAGGGAGCTAATGCCACCATCAACCCTGTATCCTACCCATGGTCCAATCCTTACTCCTACAACAGTAGTGAACCCCATCTCTTACCTGTGTCTCTGAGGGCAGCTAATCCCCCATCACCTGTCCCTGCAGGCTGACAGCATCTGGATGGACATCAGAGATGATGATGACCTGCCCACAGCTGAGGAGCTGGAAGACTGGATAGAAGATGTGCTTTCTGGGAAGATAAATACTGAAGATGATGATGACGATGACGACGATGATGATGATGATGACGATGACGACGATGATGATGATGATGATGATGATGACGATGATGATGACGATGATGACGATGACTAACTGTGACTCTGTGCAGTTTGACTTGTGGGGCTTGAGAGCCTTCCCCCTGCGGCAGGTCCCTCCATTGGAAGGCCTGTGTTTGAGCAAGCACTGCTGCTCCTCTTTGCCCCCTGCCCTGCTCCCCCTGCCCCTGCCCTTGCCGGGACCCCCTGGCCTGATTCTCAGTGGTGCTGAGCCACCAGGACTGCCCCTGCGGTGGGCAGTGCCTGCAGGCACCCAGCACCGCTGCAAATCATGCCTCCTTAGTAAGGACAATAGGAATCTGCAGGGAATCTGCCCCGGGTGTCCCAGGGCAGGAGAAAAGTGCCTGCCTGCTTGCTGCCAGAGGGACGCAGGGAGCCAGTTCATGTTTTCCATGTTCATCAGCCCAGCACTTAACATCCAAAGACCAAATCTCCCTTCAAGACATTGAGAAGGCCACTGTAAAGTTTAGTCCTTTTATTAAACACAATGCCCTTTGCAGATACTCTGCCAAGACCACTCAATCCTGCAAGTCCTGCTGCGGGAGTCCCTAGCTAATGCTAGGAGCAGCAAAATGCTTTGGGAGGGGAGGAAGGTTTTAGGGATGCTATTAAAGTTTTCAGTGATTCCACATAACAACAGGATATTCTTGTTTGGCAGTGTGATGCAAAACCAAGCACCATGCCCTCTGTCTGAACCTCTTTTCTTGAAAACTCGGGCCATGGCTGGGGAAGTGCAGGTGGTCTGATAGGAGGCATAAAAGCTCGCAAGTTCCTGAACTGCTGGAAAGGCTGATCCAGGTCTGAGCCCAATCTGAGTCCAAAATCTTGAGTTTGAAGACCATGGCACTGAGTCAAGCCAATGGAAACATCCGTAGGGGCCCACCCTGAAGCTCTCCTATTCCCCATGACCTTCTGGCTTTAGCTGACTCTTCACTCAAAGCCCATGTAGCATCTATTCCCATGACCAAGATGCTGGGAGGGAACACACTCATCCAACTAAATTTGATATTGGATGAGGTACGTCGGGCAATGAGAGGTGAATGGATTCAAGTTGTTTGGCTTTTAAGTATTTAGTTGCACAGTTACTTAACCCTGCTTAGAGACTCGGATGTCCCATAGTAGCCTGCGAGAAGCATCTTTTGATTGCAGGAGCTCAGGGTGCCAGTTTGCAGTCAAGGGGGTCACTCACAAAGCAAAGGGTCTGCAACACAGTCCTGGCGAGTGCAGCACCATCCACATGCAGGTCACTGTGGCAGCATTAAATCTCCCTGCTTTCCCATGCCAGCAGATTTCAATTGTCTTAGCTTATTAGGTTTGACAATAGTGCAATGAACAGAGAGTTCGGAGATAGTTTTATCTCTATATACACATTTATAAGGATGTTCTCTGGTTGTTCAGACTTGTTAGCATAGGTAGGGTATGCATCTCCTTTCTTGCTACAGAAGGAAAACATTGTCCTGAGACCGTTTTTTTACTGGCTTACATCAGAGGTAAGTGATATTAGGGGAAATAACTGTGCGAGGGACAGGAGAATCAGAGCTCATTACACAAGTGTGAATAAGCCTGATGAGAAACGAGGTTCACACACTATATATTTCCTCTATCAGATGAACCACAAAGCAAGATTTTATAGAATTTTTTTTTTTGCTGCCTGTTCATCAGTCTCTTTGACTATCTCTCTACATTAGCTGAAATAGAAATTTGAAACTACTGGTATAAAAAAGCTAAAGTATTGATGCCATATCCCATATGTATGCCATATCCCTTGGTAGAAAATGCCAGTATGAACAACACATGGCTGGATATCTATATATCTCTATGCATATGAATGAATACTGTGCTAATACAGCATATGACTGTAGGCCAAGTTAGCTCCTCATTGAATATAAAACATTCAACATGTGCTTTTAAGACACAGCTATCAGAAGAATAGACAAGGCAGCAAAGCCCCCAGGTCAACTTTTCACGCTTTCTTGCTTCCTTATGATACATAAGCACTTCCTGGAAGATGAACCAACTTTGTTTGAAGAAACCATTCACCTGGTTGCTCTGGGGTGATGAACAACTTTCAAAAGCCTTGAAATGCAGAGTGCTCTCAGCATGGAGGTCCCCTTCCCTTTTTCTCTCACATCTGCCTCTCTCCTGGCCAACAGGGTGCCCAGCACTCGCCTTCTACTCTTTCCTTCCAGCTCTTTCCTCAAGAGGTTTGCTGGAGGACCCTGGCTCAGAGAGAGAGGGAGCAGGCAGGACTCAAGGTCTCATTCATGCACACTGGTAAAGAGCAAGAAGAGGCAAAACTGGCTATCTAGTGGTCTCCCAGTCTGCAATTAAGGGACAACTACTCACCTGAGAAAAATACATGCTTATCTTTACCTTGGGTCTATTCCCAGGAGTTAAACATGCCCAGTTTCACCCTGCATAAGGCAACAGCCTGCACAGGCCTTGCAGCTCCGTATCAGTCACTCTAAACACGAAGAATAAACGAAGAGCTGCTCTACTGCCTTTCCTAACTGGCACAGTCTCCGGACATCTCAATTACCTGGGTACTTTCCATGTAGCTCCCCTCCTGCTGTGGATGCCTGTCTATTCTAATGTGCCCTTCTCCAGACGCACTGAGAGGCGCAGCTTACCCAGGCAGAGCAGGCAGACCCTGCAAATGATGCTACAGACACGTTCAAGTGCACAGGTGTTTCACAGGCACTTATATATTTCAAAGCAACAGAGCTCTGGGGGAAAAATAGAATAAATAATGTAGAAGTGTAGAGGTTGAGCTCATACAGGGGCTGGTGGACTGGTGCCAGTGTTTTATGGACAGTTTCCCTTGAGTTATGAAAGGGCTAATGCTACAGCTGCCACTCCTTCGTGGTGCCAGTGAAGTCCTTGATGGGGCTGCCCTTTCTTTCTTGCCTCATCCCCCCAGTAGAATTTTCATCATTCTCTTTGCCCACAAACAGGAACTGTTTATTATCAGCTTTTAGGACAAACACATGAAAAGTTAAGAAATGTTGCAGCAGAGGAAGGATTCCAGCAATGAGGATGGGTGGGCAGCAAACCCATTTACCTGTAACACTTCATCTGCCCCAAGATCCTAGTGACCAAACTTCTCCTTGTGAAGGAGATGCTAGCTTAAACTTGAGTGACTTCCTTGTAGGGATTGGTAAAACAGTGGTATGGGGAGGACACACAGGACTCCAGGCACAGGTGTTCCTGGGCTCCTCTGTCAGAACTAGGTACAACTGGCATTTGAAAGGTAGTGGTGGCCCTGAGGAACTAAGTCAGCCTAACTCCCCCCACTATACACTGAGAAGTAAAAGGTTGATTTGGATGAGGAACCTGCAAAAAAACCTTAATTAAAAAAAAAAGAAAAGAAATTGTGTACATGGGCAGCAGTGAGTGTTTCCGCAAGCACGTCTGTTAAGACTGTCCCTCTCTTCAAGAATAATTCTTTTTCTCCAGCATGTTAATTAGACATATTAATTGAGTCTTAATACACATAAAGACAAGTAATTGGATTTTTCCCTCATCCAACTCTGAGTACTTCAAGCTGATCAGTTACTTCATAGAATCATTCAACCATTTTTGTTGGAAAAGACCCCTAAGATCATTGAGTCCAACCATTAATCCACCACTGCCAAGTAAGTACCCAAAATAACCCAGAAGATAGTCTTACCAGCCCCCAATGACAGTAAGGACCCCCCCCATGAGTGATACATGGCAAGAACACCAAGTCATACACCACCACCTCCTCCCAGTCACCAGACACAGGGCCAGAGGCCATAGCCAAGGGATTTGTTTGTACCACAGGCCACCCTGTGCTGCTCATGGGCAACAACCAAGGCAGATGGAAACCCATCAGAAGCCACATCCTGCAGCTATCATACTGCAGCATGGAGGAGAAAGTTTCTGCAAGGGCCCAAGGTCACTGATGTAGTGGCTCTGTGAACCCAAAACTGCTCTGAGCTTATGTCAACCATTTGGGAAACAGCTCCAGAAGGAGAGGACAACAGAGGAACTTTGGAAACAGCAGATTACTCCATGGTTTCAGGGTCAGCGGTTTTTGTGATGTTTCTGAGGAGTTTTGAGGCTCCTGTGTCTCCCCTGGGAGAGGAATGGACCCATAGTGAAACCAGAGATCTTGGCTGCTTCCCATCAAAACGAAGCTGCTCAGCCAGACACCAACATGAACGTGGAGCTGAGGACACCAGTTGCTTCTTCATGTCTGTCTGCACATCATACCTAAAGAAATGATTGATTCATTACAGAAACCAAACAAAAAACATCGCCTTTTATTCCCAGGAAAATAATTAATTAGGAACATATCACTTCCCACCTGCCACTGACTTGCAGTCCTGTGAAAAGAGGCCAAGATTGCATCTGGCTTCATCTCCGCTGCAGCAAAGCTTTGAGATTTGGCTTTGAGGAAGTCTCACACAGAGCCAGTTGCACACCAATGCCTGGACTTGGGGGTCTGACGAGGAGGAGCAGGTAAAGAGGCAACAAGCACCAAGGCCCTCTGAGACAAAGCACCCTTCCTCCTGGCTGCTTTTACGCCCCAGGTATGTCTATGCCATGCAGTGCAAGACCATCTGCTAGAAACTGGAAGCAGCAGAGAGCAGCAGGCAGGATAATTGACCTCAGTAATGAGGCTGAACCAGCAGGACTGTGTCCTACCCGAGACCAAGACAGTGTGTGTCAACCCACTGCACTGCAGCATCCCCTGCTCCCTTTTTGCCACTCCCTTGTACCACTGGCATCTAGCAAAGGAGCCCTTCGATGGTCAGTACCCCTGGGGGACAGCCATGGGATGGCTCTCATACCTGTTTGGCAGAAGATGCTGTCTAATGATGACACAGATCATGAGGCAGGTCCAGTGCAGAGCCAGCCCTCTTGGCCCAGCTCCCTGAACACTCTCTGCCAGGTTTGAAAGGTGCTAAACTATTGAAAGGAAAAAAAAAAGCTACACAACTTTCTTGCAGCTTGAAGATCCATTTCTGGAATCAGATTACAAGCAGGGATGGAAGCAAAGATCCTTCCGGTGCCTCACTCCCCCCTCATGCTTTCTCTTGCCAAGCCCCTGTCAAAGGGCATTGTCCCTAATGCTATGGAAAATAAGAAGAAAACAAGCCTTTTCACCTTCTTTTTATCCCTCTTGAATTTCTACTCTTCTGATCCTCACTAGCTCCCCTACTTTATTTTCTCTCTCCATTTCTATTTAACCTGTCTTCCTCTTTTCCTTAACCCACTCCCACAGCATATGGTACTGAAGGTCACTTAAGGACACAGCCCTTCCCTGCCCCTACTGCTTGTGCTCATCCCAGCCCAAGGAGACAGCAGCCTCCCCCACACCACTGCCAGGAACTGGCAGGGACAACAACTTGGAGGGACAACATTTCCTTTCTGAGGAGAAAGACAGTTGAACAAGGCTGTCACTGGCTTTCATTTTGAGGGGGACAGGTGGGACATGCTCAAGGAGAAGCCATTTCACCAGCCTGGGCACTGAGGAAAATACAGAATTTCTTTTGTCCCAAAATCCAGATGAGGAACCATCACCCTGCAATCAAGCCCTGACTGTTACCACCATGGAAAGAGATCAGTAACCCCCAGTGACACCAGCAATCGCACCGCTTCTGCTCACCACCTGAGCAGAAGACAAGTGTCATGGCTTCATGTACAAGAAATAAGCCTCAAGGGTTAAATGAGCTGAGTTTGCTGGAGGGGGTATCCCATACTTTAACAGCAGCCAGAAAGCCAACTCCCTGCCGGAGACACAACCAGTGGTTGTCCTGACCGAGTTCTCCTTCAGTCGTGGGTGGTAAATGACTTAAATAGCCATGGGCAACCTCATCTTCTGCTTTTGGATTTGGAGGAAGTCCAGCTTGAACCAGGTCCTTCCCTCAGTAACACAGGTAAAAATAAAGTCATGTTTGACCAGAGAGCAGCCCTGAATTTTGCCTGGTGTTATATTTTTGCTTTAAAATTCAATCCAACATGTCTAAGCCCTGCTCCTGCTAGTGACAAAGAGAGAGGTTATTGAACAACAAAAGTAACTAAATGTTTGAGGAACATTTCAGTCCCCACAAAATGAAATTGCTGAAGGAATTTGCACAGCTTCCCACAGTCTAGTTACTGAATTACTAAACCAGTTTCTCACAACCACTTACAAAGCAAAATTATAATTAACTGTAGGATCTGGTATTGTGAGTACTCAAGAATGAGCTTTTACAAAATAGAAGCTAAAAGGTTTGCAGATCTGTTTCACATCTGTGGCCCAGATATAATCAGCTCCTTCTTGTTCCCTCTTTTAAAGCATGCCCATAACATCTGACTTGCTGAAGAGAGGTCCAAAGAACTATAATGTTCTGAATGTCTCTTAAAACTTTCAAAGAGGCTGAATCAAATGTGTTTTGTCAAGAACTCCCCCCTTGCCATGCATTCACTTTTTATTTGTGCTACCTTTTCAAATAAATAAGCAAAAAAAGAGAAAAAGAAAGACAACCAAGACTGTAGATGTTTAACCATTTGGAATCTTGACTTTTGCCTTTGGAAGAGACTTAAAATGTTTCAATTTACAGAGTAGCTTCATGCCTAGAGCAATTTGTGGTGTCTCCATTTTTTTAAATCTCTGTACCTTCATGTTTCTAAGGATGCTGGAGGGAAAACCCACACCCTAATCTCCAAGGTCTCTTCCACTGACTTCACATTGCCTCTTCTTTGTCTTACTATCTCTCTTGAGGTTTTGCTGTTTGCTCCATATTTTGATACATAAGCAAGGTGGATGCACTGAGCTGTCCCAAATGCACGTCCACAAGGCAAAAGCTATCTTCCTTCTTCCTCTTCTAAATTGTACTTAGTGCTGCCCACACAGAGCCTAAAGACTGATTGTTCTCTTTGTCTTGGCTGAGGTCCCTCCAGCAAACAACAGTTCTCATGCTCCTGTGGGCAGGACTCATGGGCTTCGGGAGGCCAAAAACCAGCAGTACGGCTGCTTGCGGACTCTTGTGTCCCCAGGTTATTTGCACTAACTTAGCTGGAACCACAGCGAGCCCCAGGTCCTGGACAGAAGTCTTCACTCCCCTCAGGTCCCCAGATTTTGGAGGAAGGGAAGACCAGCTCAGGGCTTTGGAGTAGGCTGGCAGTTTTGCAGTGGGCCCCAACCTGAACACAGACTACTACGTATTTCCCATTTTATTAGCAACATATCGACATAAACTAGCACACATGCTCACAGCAGGGCTGTAAAACTTATTACAGCATTTCAAAGCAACTCGGGTAACCTTGTTCATAGACAGTGATTTATGCCTATGCAATCACCCCACTACACCGCCCCTGCTCACTTCTGCAGGCACGTACTCAGTGCTCTCTTTTCTCTCAGCACCTCCCTACCTAGTGGTGCATGGATGCACACGTGAAAAGGGAACAGATGCCCTTGCCCCAGTGGATTATCTGTCAGTACCGGAAAGGACTGTAACCTAAACCCATCACCTTCCCACTCCAACATAAACTTAGGAATGGTGTTGAAAGACAAATCAAAGCACTCCGCTTGGCCAACTTCCAAAACACCTTCCCTTCCTGCTTGCTGTTGTGAGACACCATGTCCTGCTAAGAGATCCCCTTCCCCTCATACCCACCCCACCTGCCCTGATCTCCAGGGCCCCTTGGAAGCCCTGGAGGTCGATTCCAACTGTACTTCCTAGGAGTCCAGACCTGGGGCTGAGACAGCAGAACTAGTTCATTGCACTGGAAGAAGCTATTTTGGGGTTTGAAGCCCCGCTGACCTCCACAGCCAGATGTCTCATTGAACTATTAATTTAGCTAACAGAGTTGTACGGTGAGGTGTTGCTGGTGCTTCAAGCAATGCTGTGGAGCCAGTTGCTGAAGGTGACAAATCCCTTTCTTAACCTGTTTGTTATACCCTTCATTCCCCAAAGCTGATGTTTTCCGCTCATCCATAGCTGTGAGGCCTGGTTTTATCACCTATGGGGGCCAATTGATCTTAGGAATTAAGCCACAGTTCAGCCACCAAATACCCTACACCACTAGTTGTTGCTGTGCTGTCTTAGGGCAGTCAGTGTTTCATTCCCATACAGTCAGGAAGGGCACTGCAGGAAAAGCAACTCTTCCTGAAGTCCAGTATGCCCTTCAGGAGAAGGTCCTTACCTCTGGTTCAGGATGCCAGGTCCCTCCGAGTGGTGGTGTTTTTCCAGTAAAAGCCTCCCTTCCCTTTCTGGCAGAGGTTTGTGTCTGTAATACTTAACCCAATTTTGCACCTCAGGCTCCATAACATCTCAAAGGCCCTTGCAACTTCAGCGAAAGACTTGGCCAAACCAGATCAGCTCCTTCAGCTTTAATTTCTGCTGAGCTACATACCACAGCCCCTTATGATTCAGATAGCTGAGCTCTGGGTGAAGGCCAAGGGAACTAGTGCCTCTAGCAAAGCCTGTTCCTTCCACCAGCTTCCACAACCCACAGCAGGAGAGAAAGTGCCATGAACGGCAGCAGTCGTGTTGATTCGGTATTAGCACTAACCCACAAATGAAACAGAGCACACTGAACTCACATGTAAAGACACAGCTAAGAGCCTTGGATGAGGCTGACAAGTGTAGTATCTTGTTTATGCCAAATTCCTGCTGCTTTCACCTTCCCATGACACACCTGTGGCCGACTCCCACAGAGGCTTTACCTGCAGAGCTCCAGTCCAGCAAGTTAGGTCTTCCTGTGGGGGGCAGGTGGGGACGAGCAATGGTTGCATCCCCACTGTAGGCTCTGCAGGGCAGCAGCAATGCCATTTCCTTTCCCTGCCCATCTCCGGGAGCTGCCCTGCAAACAATCCAGGGCCGGGCACTGCCAAAGCATCAGCAGGATGAGGGGGACAGATCAAAAGCAGAGATCAAGGGAGGACAGGAGGCAGAACAGAACACAGCCCCATCCCACCCTTCCTGCTTCCTCCCAGGCCTCAGTTCAGCTCTCTGTAGCCCAAATATATTCTACTCCCCCCAGGCAGAGAATGTGGCTGTTTCTCTCCACAAGTGTGTTTGTGAGTGCTGCTTAATCTCCACAACTGCTGCACTCTTCCTCACTGCACAGCATCATCCTGTGGATTTTTCCAGTAGCTGAAGACACCAAGATCTGCTGGGCAGGGCACAGCTGCGAGGCAAGGTACTCTGCCTTAAAGGGGGCTTGCTTGAAGAGTGGGTACCAAAGAATGTCTAGGCAAGAAAGCTGCTCCTACATTTCCTTGGGCACAGCTGCTTGGTCTTTCCCAGCTCTTGGCATGAAGTGTATCGAAACTGATGGTGGGGAAAACCGCACCCAGAGATGCTATTGAGGCGAGATCCCTACACCTTTTTTTAGAAGAGCACAGTCTTGCATCCACACCAACAAGGAGCACTGGCTTTTCTACCTCTTGCCACTCCTTCTCCTCACCAAAGCCAAATAAGGAACTCGGCAGTGAATCCTGCACTTCATAATTTGTGTGCAAACTATGAGAACACAGGAGGCAGAAAAACCTGTTCCCATTCTAATCATGCCCCCCTCCCCAGCTGCATTTGCTCCCCATCATTTGAGATTTCAGGTGTTCAAAGCAGCCACCTACCAGTCTTCCTTCAGGAGTGATAAATGAGTTTGCATTTTACTGTGGCATGGCAGATCAGAAAGGCCCTAGGACGAGGGTGACAAAAAGACAGCCTTAAAAAGGCTAAACCACATGTTTGCAGGGCCCCTCCTAGCCATAGCTAAGGAATGCTTGAAGACCAGAAGAGCTTTTCGTCTGAAAGGATAAGAGAAAGGAGTAGGACAATCAAATCTGGTTTCAGTTTATTTCCAGCATTTTACTGTACAAAATATGCAAAGTGTAAAACGGTTTTATGTTTCAGTTTAAAAAACAACAAAACCCCATCCAGCTATAACTTAAGAGAACCCAGCTTGGAACAGAACAATTTACAAGGCTAGACCCACAGTGCATTAATGTCACAGAGAACAGGAATTTGCTTACTTAAGTCCACGATTAGAAAAGAACAGAAAGACCATGTACCATTGCAGTTAAAGTTACATGTGCAAAGAAGAGGAAAAAAAGAAAGAAATGCTGGTTAGTGTCTATTAATTAGAAAACCTTGGCAAAACCTTTCTTACTATACAGTGTGTGTAGAAAAAGTATTACACAGTGATAAAGGAGGGTGAGGGAAGAGCATCCACCCCCACCCCCTTCCCCAAGACACAATAATGCTGAATCAAAGAAACAGGCACAGAAGAGTGTAAGATTCCTTCACAGTCATGCCTGTGCAGGTAGCGAGCCACAGCATCTCCCACTGCGCACACAGGAGATGGCCCCAAGCATCCTTAGGTGCTGGTGAGAGGTGCCCAAGAAGCAGCCAGAGGGAAGGAAGGATTCCCTCTCTGGGCAGAGGGGCTGGCTGCCTGCTGCCTGCAGGGCTTCCGTGTGCTACAGGGATAAAAAATGCAGTCTCTTGGAGGGACAAAGATGGGTGGATAACACCAGCTGTACCGCTGGGGTGGCGAGGACCTGGCTCCAGAGCATCCCAAAGCGATCCACACCGGTCACAGTTGTCAGAAACGGCAACTTTTGGTCATCCTCTATTGGAGGCAGCAGCCTGAGGGCAGGAGGATGCACACTCCTGTAGGAGACGTCATGGCCCAAAGTCATCTCTTTTAGAAGAGAAATTTGGGGGTTTACCTTTTTTTGTTTGTTTGTTCTATAAAATCAGCTCAATTCCAAGAGCACTTCCTTCTTAACACAGTTTAAACACTAAACCACCAAGCCTGGCCTGAGGCTTGAGACATGTATAATGCACATACCTAGAAGGGAAAAAGCACATAAGACACACACACAAGCTGAATGAGAAAACAGACACCTGCACACACGTCTTGTGAACAGCTCTTATACGGCTGGGCAGAACTGAGCACAACTGAGGAGCCAGACTACAGCAATTTTGCAAAAGACTGCAAGACTTTTGTTCTACCTTTGAAAAAGGGCAGATTTACACATTTTGGTAAGCAAGATGAAATTGGTTTCAACAGGTTTCCATGTTTAGCAAGTTATGGATCTTTCCAGTTTCTTCAGCAGCAAGTGTTGGAAGTGAGCACATCTCAAACAAGACTTTTCAAAGCTAATTATGTGGGGCAGGGTCAGCTCCAGAAACTCCTTCCCTTCACCTTTTGACATACAGCAGATTCCCAACGTTTTGCACAGATATCTCCATTCCAAAGGAAAAGGTTAGGAGGTTCTATGAGGGACAGTATTTGTTCAGATCTCCCCAAACTTGAGCTTACTGTGAGTTGCCCCCAAGCTCTAAACTGCAGTCTCAGCACCTCCCTTCCCAGCAGATACTTGTTGTGCCTCACTAAGGAACTTTGGGGTGAAAAAATGCACAGAAGTGAGGATGGAAGCTGGAGAGACTCACTTTGCTGGCAGAAAAAATTTTTAGAGGCAGAAGTCAGAGAAATAGCTGGCAGAAGCTGAAATCAGATCTGCCTTTCTCTCCAGTACCCTCCTCTGGGGGGAGGGGGACATTGCTCTTGAAGGCACCAGGGCAACCCCTGAAGCAGGAGGTGACTTTGCTCTGTGATCAAGCTGCATCACACCAGCTTTTCATGCCCAGTGCATCTCTCCCCAGCTACCCTGCTGTCTACAGGGGGGCGTGGATGGCAATGTCTCCCCTCTGCAGGGTGAAAACTGGTAACAGCCAACCTCCCCAAGCTGATTACAGGAGCTTGGTCAAGGGCTGGTACACTATGGAGGGGAGTCCTACAGTGCTTATACTTTCAAGAGTGCTGTCTGCTTCCCAGGAATGCGAAAGGAGTCTGAGAACTGGGGCAGCCCCACAGAGCCTACACATGGATGGCTGAAGCCACATGGCAATGAGAGGCCAACAGATGTGCTAAAACCTTTGCCCATGCCTATTTACAAGACTGGCAAAGTAGTATGGGTCTAATATCTGCCCCTATGCTCTGATAAACTGCAAGAAATCCAAATCTTTCACTTTTTAGCCATGAAAGAGAAAGCCAGCCTTTGTGGAAACCCACAGCCATTTCCATCTGCTCTGGAACACTTGGAAAGTCTGAGCTGCATCTGGTTTTGCAAGATCTCAGCATGGCCTTGGATTTAGGCTGTAACAAATCTGAGAGCTAAAAACCAAAGCCTTAAAAGTATTCAAGCAGCATACTTGAGAATCACAGGAACCACGCCAACGTGGAAGGGAGGAGTGGGGCACCACCACCCCTGGTTAGACAACACAGCACCCTATTGAATGGTTCAGCTTCCAAGGAAGGATGTCCAGTGCAAGGATCTCCTCTGAGGGGGACACTGTCCATTTCGTCACAAACAGGGTTGTCTTAAAAAAACACTTGAATTCTAAAAAATCCCCCCACAATTCCCAGCCAGGTAAAAATATCCAGACTGGGAGAGAGGAGGGAAAATATGTGCAAGGAGACAGTGCAGGATAGGAGAGGCATTCGGAAAAACAGCCTCCACTTGGCTGACAAACCCTACAAGTTGTATTTATGCTCAACTCTTGGCAAGCTCGGCAGAAGCAAAGGCTGCAGGAATTGGACCAGAGCTTCATTCCCTATGACTCGACTCTTACTCATTAGCTGGCTATAAACACAGTTAAACAAACCAGTCTGCTCTCACCGCTCAGTATTTTTTTAAAGAGTTTGAATTCCTATAGATGCCACAGATTCACCTGTGGATCTCAAAGCACTTGATAGCAAGTTGAGTTTAGCCTCACAACACCCCAGTGAGGTAGATATGACAGTGGTCCCCTGACTTTGCATGGAGAGGGGAACAAGAGAGACCCTAAAAAATCTCATTAAAAATACCTGAACAGGGAATATTCAGGAGTCATGATCCCCCTTTTAGTCTGTTCTCACCTCTAAACAGGTTGCGTCTCTAAAGAGACCATTTGAGAGGCCAAGTCCTTTCCTTGATTTCATCAGGCAAAACATTCACGCTGCTGACATAGGGAAGAACATTTAATGTAGGAGTTGGCCCCCGTTGACAGTGTCCTTTTTGGCAGCAGGCAGAAAAGGCAGCATGGAACTACAGCACAAAGATGAGGAAGCAGACCCAGAGCGAGCACATACCGCTTCTGTCTGGTTCTCCATGTGTTAAAGGATTTAACAAAATTAAGACATGAGTTTCCTGAGCAGATAGTGTCAGACACCCCCCCTTGTGGGGCAGGGAAAAGGGGAAGGAAATCCTGGGAAAGTAAGAAAGTTTTGCAGATGTGCCTGTGACAAGGTGCTCTCACATACACGGCACACCCAAGCCCCTGGCAAGGTGGTTCTTGTTCTGGCTTCACAGAAATGAGCCAATTCAGCCACAGGCAGTAGCCTCCACACAGGCATTAAGTGCTCCACAGTCTCCCAAGCTACTCCCAGTCTCTCCCACCCTACTGGTTATGCACATCATAAAAGCCAGGTGCAGGTATCTTTAGGAGAGCCAAGTGTAAGATACTTTATGTTCTCTTTTTTTTTTTTTAAAGGAATAAACCCACCTATTTTTTTCAAAGTAAAATGCTGCAAAGGCCACAGGCAATAAAGGAGTCCCCATACAGACTACCAGAAAGCTTGATCTACAAAGAAACCCAAACACTGAGTTTAGAGAAAAGTCTACCTACTTCCCACCCTTTAAGGGCAAAGGGCCTAATCCCATCACGTATCATGCCATCTAGTTTCTTCATAACCACATCTGGCACATGACATGGAGAAAAAAGGATCCAGGAGACTACCACACACTTGTAAGAAAGGTGAAGGAAACTGCAGGGGTCACTTGGATAGAGAATCATCACTTTGGACCCTTGCTCCCCAGGGTGCTCCCTTGATCCCAAGAGGACTATCCACAGGTGCTGTTGGACATGCATCTCCATTGCTGCTGAAGAGGATGGACCCTCCTGCCCTGTCCCCAGTGTCTCTTAAGGTGGCAGCTCCCTCCCACCAGCTCGTGGTGGGCACCAGTCAGCCCACACCTGCTGTGCCACGAGCTCCACTCTTTGCTTGGCCACCTCACCCTGATGGGAGCATGGAGGCAGCCCCAGGAGCTCCTGGAGGAGCCCAGGAAAGGCCTGGGAAAGGCCAAAGGGGACAGGTGGGGCTGTTACAGCCTTCCTCAGAAGACTGTGCAGTCTGGCAATGAAAGGCACTGGCTAACACAAGGAAGAAGGCCCTAGTTCCAGAGGGCAGGCCAGATCCTGCCTGATAAGGGATATTTGCATGGCAAAAGACTGAGCAGAATGAACATTTACATTCACGTGGATCTCAGGGGTACCTGACTGAAGGCAGGTCACTGCCAGCCTAGCAGCTGCGTTACCTGAACACGGATGCGATGCCCCCATGCTGGCAATCAGACTTCAGACACCGATTTAGGTCATTGTTAAAAACAAACTTTCTAGAATCCCATAAAACTCAGGTGACACTGAATTCACACATGAAAGCTGCACTGGTGGCCAAAGGCAGCCTTACAAACAAAACTCTCTCAGGAGCAGATCCCAGCACTGAGCAGAAACTCCCACAGCATAGCAAGGCCAAGAAAGGCAGGCAGATTTTCAACATTCAGAACATTGTTTGGTATTTCTTAGCTACAGCTGAAGGTGTAAGGTGGGGAAGGGCTCACTGCAGTGTTTCCAGAGCACAACAATTTTCCAAAGCAAGTGAACATGGCAGGGGTCAGCCCATCCCTGGCTCTTCTCCTTAAGGAGGGAAATGCTTTTGCTGGTCTTTTCTCCAGACACACTTGAAACTGGCTTGAGAGGGAAGGGCACATTCCTGCCTGCACCCCCTTCTCCTCAAAGAGGCTGTCAGATATAGGGAGGGTCTGTGATTTATCTGAGGAGGAGCCAGCTATTCACTGACCCTGTCCCAGTGCAAATACGCCCTTGCAGGTGCAAAAGGAAGTGGCAGTGCTTGGAGAAACACATTCAGAAAGCCAGACAGAAGGGGACAGAAACAGGGAGCCCTGGGAGTGCCCGACAAAGATGTGGACAAGCAGAAGAGAGGGAAGCAGGTGAGAGAAAACAGGGAGCTGTGCCACACAAAACAATTTCACTAACAAGCACTAATAAAAAAAAGTAATAAAAATTCAAAAAGCTGAAAGATGGGCTGATCCAGTTCAAGACAAGAAATTTCACAGGGAGTGAAACCACCCCACTACGTTCACACAGGTCTGGCACTGACAGAAGAGGCACATGGAGAAGAGAAAAAGAATAAAAGAGAATAGAAGTACTCTCACACACCTGCCCTTTGATATTCCCTCCTCCCCGAGTGAACAGGGGCTGCTGCACCCCTGTGCCAGCAGGTTTCTATAACGGAGAGGGAGCAACACCCTCTCAGGAACAGCCACAGGTAGCAAAAAAAGAGACACAACAGAGCAGGCGTGCACATGGCATAAGGCAGCACTCCAACAAAAATACTGACGTTGCAATTGTGCAGAAAAAGAGAGAGCGTGAGATTTACAGTATGCCTGGAAAGAGGGGGGAAAAGAAAAAAAATCTGTTCTGTCTCCAAGACTGAGCTAACTGAGCCAAGTCACCCTGTTGCCTCTTAAGATACTTCTTTCTAGATAAGATATCCCAACTCCCCCCTCCCCTTTCCAAATAAAGTGCAGATGGTCAAATATTACTGGTCCATCATCTGCCAGTTTCAGTCAGCATTGGGGAAATTAAACCCAAAAGCACAATATTGAAAAAAAAAATCTCCAAACAACCCACCCTCAAAATCCCTTAGACTGAAGTCTCAGACTGTAAGCGGAGGACAAATTTATGAGATTTAGGGTCTATGAACTCTTCTGAGAGTTTGATGAAGGGGATTTTTTTCACATTAACAACAAGGCTGAAGTCCAAGCACTTGAGGACAAACACGATGCCGTCTTGTAACCCGCTTGTGACCGCTTCCTCGCTGACGAGCGTCCACTGCTTGGAGAACCAGCGATCCCTGTCATACTGGAGGGTTGGGCCCGGGTTGAGGTAACGCTCCAGGAATGCCTGCCAAGAGCGCGACACACGTTAGCACCGGCCCCACAACTCGCTCTGCTCTCTTCCCATCCCCAAGTATGGCTCCGCGAGCACGGGTTTGCCATGCTGAATATTGTTCCAGTTTTCACACTTCAGAAGACATCTTCTCCCCAGTCCCTCCCAGATTTTCAGACCCCAGCAGTAGACAAAAACATCAGGAGATCCTCTTTCAGTGCATCCCAGCAAGCTTGCAAAGTTATAGCCCTGATTTCTGCCATCAGCACAGCCATCTGGCAGCAGTTCAGTAGAGCAGAGGTAATTTCTCCCCTACCAGCCCCATAACCCATCCCAAAACTGCAGTCCCAGACAGTGAGATAGGATAGCTGGCTCTCTCCTTCAGGTCAAGCTAAGGTGGAAAGCAGAGGTTTCCATGTTTTCAGCCTGAGCCTGCAAAACCAGAAGCAGAACGTGAAACACTGTTTGATGCTGCTTGTGTTTTAAAGTCTCCTTTGCAATCTTCGTGGCAGCAGAACCTTCTCTTGCATACCTGGGCAAGGTCCTAGGTGGCTCCCAGAGAGAAGATGATAAGGTCCATCTCTTGACAGCATTTCCGCTCTTAGTGTAGTAAGACCTGGGTGAACACCCAGGAGTAATCCTTCCCTAGGACTGTGGGTTGTGGAGAGTGGGATTGTGTGACCCGTTTCCCTTATCATTCAATCCCTTCCTGTGTTTGCAAGTCAACAGTCACAATCTGGGCCTGAAGTAGCAAACTGACATTTGACCAAGCAGCCCATGAATTAGAAACACTGTCAGAGACAGAGATTTAGGCAGTAATTAGAAGCAGTCCAAAATGCAGCAGGGGACAGAAAAACAAACGAAAAATGCCTTTGCAGGTTGCCACCTGCATCATGCTGCTACCATGAGTCTGCAGGGAGAACTTCTGGTGATTCAAGGCCACTATCTCAAACACTTCTTCAGTACTCCCTTTGCTGAACTGGATACGAGACCAATTATGTCACAGGTATTTTCAGATAAAGAGAGAGAGAAAATGCTACAGAGGAAATATTACTTCCCTTTAAGATCTGATGCAACCTACAATGCACTGATCGTATCACAGGCAGCAACTATGAAAACATCCAGTCACCTCCCTTGACAACTTTCTGTTCTGTGTGAACACACATATGTGCCACCCCCTTCTCCCTCCTACCTGCACCAGTGCTAGAGAAAGCATTACCTTTGGTGTCATGTTGTTGGTGATGCAGAAGGACAAGTGTTGTAAGATGCTCTCCATGCTGTGATACTGTTGCTGGCGGGTGGTGCGAAGGTACTTCTGCAGAGCCCTTGCCATGGAGGGGAAGATTGCCTGGGCTGCTTCTCGGGGGTCCATCATTTCTCCTGGAGCTTTCTGCTGTTCCTCTGCCTGGAGGCGTTTGATGTGAGTGAAAGCCTCCTCTACTGCAACCACAAGCCTGCAGAAGGAAAGTCGGGATGGTAAGAGTCATAACGAGAGGTAGGATGGGTCTGTGGCTAAGGCAGAGCCTGGGAGTCAGGATTTACAAGCTCCTATTCCCATCTGCCATTGAGTCACTGCCTGCTATCAATACATAAAATCTTTTCTACTGACAGTCTTCAAACCGTGACAGAGGGGTAGACAACAGCTTTTCTTTCCTTGCCCAAGCCATCCAGCAAACGAGGGTCATAAACCAGGATTAAGATTTTAAAAGCCTGAGCATTGCACTTGGTTCTGCCAACACAGCATAAACATCAGCTGCATGACTCAAACAAGACACAGCTGCCCTTGTGTTTAATGCACGTCTTAACACAACAGTTCCAGCACGCAGAACTGCAGCACGAAGCTTAGGGATGAGCAAGGAGTCAGGAGGAGAGTGGCTATAAACTAGCATGACCCAGGCCACAGACCACTCTGAGACACTGTGCTCACAAGCTACAGTCTGCTCTTACACCAACCGGGTACAGAACTTGTGCTGCCGAATAACTGCCCTGCACTCTCTACTGAACAGCAAGGGTGAGAACATCCCCCCATCTTCACTTGTAACACTGCAGCTAGAGCCATCCCCTGCAAACCATTCCTGTGTTGGCACAGGTGAGTAAACACCAAGACCACACCATAAAAAGGGAACAGATGCCTTACAACACTCATTACTTCGTCCTGAACTAACTTACAAATGAGGGGCTATGTTGCAGTTAGTGAGGAAAAAATGATAACGGAAGAGTCACCCAATAAAACTCTCTTGCCCCTTCAAAGAGGACTTCTTTCACACTCAATTTCCACTCAAGTCACCAACGACTGTCCACATTGCTCTCAATACCCAAAGCATCTTAAAGCCAGGGGCAGTTGCCCTACCACAAGCAGAGGTGTAGCATACTGCACTCAGACTATATTTGAGGAACAGCATGAGAAGTGCTGACCCTTGCCCGTTCTTTTTAACTTGACTTAAGGGAGGTGGGGGGTGGAAATCAGTTTCTTATCTCCTGGCTTGAAACATCTGGCCTGATCTTCTAGTGACTGATGGTTTTCCTCTGACTAAGCAGCTGTTCTAACCCAAGTCGGAAGCAAAGGAGATGTGTCCAAGTTAGGATGCTACACTTCACAGAAAGGAAAGTTTAAGTTCCTTTGGCTCTGAGGCTGGAAGAGAGCCTAAAAGACAGCAGCTATAGAACACAGGTCAGACTGAAGCAGGCAAGGGGGCACATGGTGCCAGCACTTTCCCAATGAAATATAAACTGCCAAAAGAAAACACAAAACAAGCCAGCTCCTTCCAGTTGTGACACATTCCTTCCAAACACAGCTCAGTTAAGGGATGCCTGCCTGTAAGCAACTTGCCTCAAACTGTTAGGTATGCTAACTACAGACTGCAATTAGGCTCCAGAGCAAATAGAGGCACTGTCTTGGGTCACCTCAACAAAGCATCAACTCTGTAGCCTAAGCGTGACTAGCAGAAAACGTAACTACATTCCAAAATAAAATGTAACTGCTTCTGGGTCAAGTCTTTCCTCCTGAATTCATTGAAAAGGGCTGTCCAACTGCGTCTTTTATTAGTCTGCAAAGGCAAATATTCTCCTCACCCATGAAAACCCATGAAAGTGCTCCACTGATCCTGTCCCTGGATTACTTGAGCTGACAAGCCTGGGCATGGGCAAAAATAATGGGATTTCCTGCAGCAAGTAACAACAGACTTGTCAAGCATCGGACTGTTCCTTAATCCGTGACATTGCATTAGCTTATCTGCCTTATATACATGAGCTCAGCTTTATGCACGTTCTTCGGATAATTCCAGCTGCAAGCTGTCACCATCCCTTAGGCATGTGGGTTTCATAAGCTTCTTCACTGTGACAGACTTACAGCCCTTAATCACGGGTCAGGGACACCCCACCAAGCTGGGCAAGCCCCACACGACTGAGTTTTGCAGTGCCAAGGGAAAGGCTTTACCTGGCACGGCGCTTCTTCACTCGGCGCTCGTGGTCGGCCTCCTCGTAGTAGAGCTCGTTGTGACTGGAGTCCCTGCGACGGGCCGCGGCTGCGATCATGGCACGGGACTGCCCCGACGCGTTGTTACCTGGGCCTTTGGGGGGCAAGGACGGGCAAAAAGGAGACAGAAAGGCAGTATTACTGCCACAGGACTGTGGCTGGGACAGACCAGCACTCCACGGCATCTCTCGCAAGTGCTCTGTGGCTCCAGCCTTCCCAGCCAAAATTATGAACCCTTCCCCGGTCCTCAGCAGCTCTGGTAGAAACCCTGCTAGGCAGCACAGGCTTAGAGAGGGGCTCTGGCACGTGGACAAGGGAAGTTAGTTGGGATGAAGGATCTCACGGCACATAACAAAGGCAGAGCAAGGTGAACATGCCGAGGATGCAACTTACCCCCCATTATATACGCTTTCAGTTTGAAGGCAAGGCCAGCTGGAACATACCACATTTCAGCATCAAGACAGTGTGAGAGCACAAAAAGTGAGAAGTTGGAAAAAGGAGAAAGACAAACACAAGAACATAATGAGACATGGAGATGAACAAATTAAAGCCAAATGGCAGCCAATTACTCGCAGAGAGGAAGAAAAGGATGCAGGGGAAGCAGGGTCACCTTTAGACAAAGCATAGGGTTTTCCAGAAGGACAGAAGCTGTCAGAGCAGCAATCCTGCAAGAGGGTAGGCTGGGGTCTATAAGCGTAGTAGCTTCTCATGGCACTTTGAGCAGCACCTGTCATTAGATCTTCTGCTGTTGTTACCAGATCCTACACAACTACAGGAACAGGGAAACTGCAATCTGCTCTATAATACCCAGTCAAGTGACAGAGCTGTCTACTATAAGACCTTAACTACGACCCTAAAATACAGTAGTAGGTTCTGCAACTCGCCCATGAAGCCCACAGCTTTGGCTGTTTGGGCAGGGAGTGGAAAAAATGTTGCCCCAGAAGAGTTTACAAACCTCTCTATATAGACAGAGGATAGAGCTGGGTCTGCCCAGAGAGAAGCAGTAGTCTAGGACTGCCTCCAAATCACCAAGAGTTGCTTTTATGGCTAACTGCTCTGAAAGCCCACACTCTCAACTGGCAGTGGTTAAGGCCAATCAATTGCACAAACACGTACAAAACTGTTCTGCTCATGCAAGGGCAACTCTTAATTTTTTTTCCTAAAAAGCACAAACCAGATTCCAAGACAGAAGCCTGAAGTTCAGCAGTGGGAAGGACAAGCACTCATACACAAAGCTTCTTAAAGAGTCTAAACACTTCAGATGTTGCTTGACAGCCCTGAAATGGAGGATATGACTCAAGGGAGACATTAGCTCCCAGATTTGGGTTAGATCTGTAATTTGCCTCGTTGACTATGCCTGACAATGAAAATCCTGGTTTTGAAGGTGAGCCTCCCCACTCTGTGTAAGAGAGATTACAGCAAGATGTCATTCTTTCCTGGCTGCTACGGTATCAAATACAAAAGCTGTCAACAAATTAATAATGCTATTAAGGCAGCCTGTCTTTTTTCACGAAGGGTGTGTCAGGCTGCCAAGGTAAGCTGCAGCCAAAATTACACTGCTTCGTAAAATGGACAGGAATCTTTCTAAGGACATGTCTCTGAGCCTGAGATTTCCATGTGCACAAAGGCAGCGGCACTGCACAAGGAACAGCCCAGGCAACTGGCACTGCCCCACAAGGGAAGGCATGAGTTTCCAGGCCCTGGTAGGCTCACAAGCCTGACACATGGAAAGGCCTGCCAGCCACATCTGCAGTTTGTTTCTGGTTCCTTTTCTTCTAATAAAGTCTCGTGAGCCAGCAGCTCCTAAGGTGCTATCACACTATCGGACTGGCTAATTTTCCTCTGAGCTTGGGAGCCCCAATGTCCCAGCAGATGCTGCAGGAAAATAGACCCTGCCACCTCCCAAAGAGATACCTCGGTGCAGGAGAAGACAAGCCAGTTAGTTATCAGAGTGGCACATCCCGCAGCCAGCCTCGCAGGCTGTGGGGTTTGAACGGTGTGCAGAAGCTGTGGGACTGGGAAGCCCTCACCTTCCATACACCAGGCCTCACTGAGAGTGAGGAGCTGGAATGAATGATTTCACCTTTACAGAAATGCAGAGAGTCTGTTTACTTCCCCTCTCCAATTTAACTGAATCAAGAACTTCACTCCAGGCAGCAAGGGACACATGATGGGCAAGCCTGTCCCTCTCCTTCCCTTGCTTCCCCATTCCTCTGTCAGGATGGGAATATCTCATTTGTAAGGATCTAAACCTTCAATTAATTTTATGGGCTCAGGGGTGCTGCATCAGGTTTGGGGAAGCATTTAGGATGTCTTTGAAACTCACCAAAACCGAAAAAAACCCCAACCAACCAACCAACCAAAAACAAACCAGAAAAAGAGGAAAACCAAAACTAAACACCTTACAGCCATAAGGCACTGAAACGTTGTTGAAAGCAAAATGATCATGTCTCATGTTTTTCCATGTGACAGATATTCTTTGTATTTCAGTCTCCACACCATGCACGGAGAGCCACTTTGCCCAGTTAAATCCCTTTAGTTCTTTCTTTCCAGATCTCAAAGCCTTTCGGTGCTAATGAATTCATGGGCAGTATGTGCCTTACCACATTTTGTCACAGGATTTCAGCCATTCTTCACCATAAAAGCTTGTCTACACAACTTCAGCTCTTCCCAAGGAATGTCACTTTCATAAAGGCTGCTGGGCACACCCTGCTTATCAAGCCTGGCTTTCACTGATAGGGTTTGAGAGTGTCAAATGATTAAGTCCAGTTTTCACTGCTTTGAGCATCCAGATATCCATCCATCCATCCTCCCACGGGCTTCTTTAAAACCCTGAAGTTTGAAAACGGTTTGTAGAATTGCAAAGCTCAACGGGGATAGTTATCTGTCTCTGAATTTCCATGAACTGCTTAGCATCATGATGACTTGGGAGCATGGCCATGGGTAAGCCAGGCATAGCTAATTTAGTGCTAAGCCTGCAGGCTGACAAGCACTGAGAGCATTGCTTTCATCAGCAGCTGATGCTTAGACTGCTGCATCTTCCCACATTGGTATCAACCGCCTTCACTTTCCTGAAGGCTTCATGTGGAAATGGAATAATAAGTGACCGGGGAACTCATTTAGGTTAAAAGTTGTGTTTATTGTACTATCACAACTAAGGAGATGACCCAAGGGTGACAAAAAGCAGAGGTTGCCTAAAACAAGCAGTGGTGCTGAGAAGTGCTTATCAAGCCACATGATAATTAATCCCGACATAAGATTTGGCCATTTCACCTGGCAAAGACAAAAGCCTTATTGTGGGCTAAACACATCTGTAAAGTCGTCTGGAACTGGCAAACTCAGGACTGTTAGGAAGATTTCCAGCAAGAGACAAGACTTTGGCAAAGCAAAAAGGTGAGAATGTGTGCATAACAAAGCATAAAGCCAACCCAGCCCCTCCCCATCCCACCCATTCTGAGAGACAACATTTCACTTCACCTACCATCAACATTGTAGACTTTCAGGCCAGCCATGTGCTTGGCTGCTCGCGATTTGGAGGCTGTTAACAAGGCTGGGTTGTAGACTGTGAAATCTCTGTAGTAATTTTCCAGAACCACCAGTGCAGCTCGTTGGATGCTAGGGAAAGAACAAAAAACAAAACAAGACAAAGTACCTCAGATTAAAACAAGCTCTTTTGTTTCCATAAAATGCTCAAAAAAAAAAAAAAGAAAGAAGAAATAGTCACATTAGTTGGAACAGGGTTGTCACACCTACAGAACTGTGCAATACACAGAATATTAATTACTCTCTCTAGGACCTGAATTTCATTTGAGATGCAAGATAAATGTCTCTGCCCTCACATTAATAGGAGAATGACAGGAAATCCCTAAACAAGGGCAGCACATGAAGTGAAGCACTAGGCTGACTGCAGTATGGTAAATTACAGAACTAGAGCTCAGCCCGCCTCGGCAGTACAATCACTGTGCTGCAGAGACCTTGCTCAGGCTGAAGATCAGAACCCCACAAGGGTTTTGGTGTAGCTGGCCAGCCGAGATGGAGAGACCAGCTCAGGATGGATACTTTTCCCTTTGAGTCATTTCCAGCCACACCTCACAGCTCCTCAGATCTCCTCCATCCCAGCACTGACTAGAGTGTGATCTCTTCAGCTTTCACAGCAAGATAAGATCGCTGCCTGAGGAGTATGGCTGCCAGAGACAGATTACCTCAGTATTACTCGTTAAATCCCAGGCTAGGGACAAAATAAGGAGCAGTGACACTCCCTCCATCCCTTTGAAGGGATGCCTCCACATAAAATGATGACACATGGGAGCAAAACAAGCACACGCGCCAGCAGCAGGAAAGACTCAACCCAGAGGTATCTTCCTTTGCAATCATTTTGACAACAGAGAGGGAGATGTCTGTAGGCACTATTACCAACAAACAGGACAGTATTTCAAAACAAGTCAGAGCTATGATGTTTAACAGTGCCAATGCACACGTGGGATCCAGGACACAGCTCTCTCCCCGTTGCTCTGGCTCCCTGCCTCAGCACGGCAACCGACTGGCAGCAGTATTCTCAGCAAATCACCAAGATCACCAATTCAGCCAACTGGAGTTTGCCAAGGACCCACACTTAATATAATTTTTGCGGGTTCAAAATGAAAAGGGAACTGCCAACACATTTGTTGCCAGTTAATTTGTTGCCACTTCCCAACAAAGCTTCTCCTAAGGAAAGCAACCAAGTATTCTCACACGTTACAACATAAGAAGAAAACATTACAAGGATGGTAACGTGGGAAAATAAGACATCAACAAATTAAGACCAAAATTCAGTTCTCAGCACTACCACGGTGTGCTCCCAGAGGAGCAAATAAAGTTTTCCTGTTCCTTGTGCTAATACTAAACTTCTGCATCGCACCCTAGTAATTTAAACACACACCCCCCCACTATCCTCGATTCTCCGGCTGTCCCCTCCCACTGATCAGTGATTAAGCACACATGCCAGTCCGTTCAAGAGATTCTGAGAAAGAAGAACAAACCCAGACTTGTTCACTGTGTAGCTTCATCAGTCAGTATTATGGTACATGACCATACATTTGATTAGCTCTGTACCTATAAGATGATGAATTTAGCTTTTGAAGCAAATTCCATCTTTAGGACTCTCTGGTAGGGTCTTTTGCATCCAGCCAGAGCATCTTAAAGAAGCTTTACCTTTCAGGTGCCACTCCTTCATATTTCCTCATCTTAGGTTTGGTAGAAGCAACTCCACTTAAGCACTCAGCTGCTGATATGAGATAAAAAGCCACTTAACCGAGGAAACAATTTTCCTTTAATGAAGTAGTAGAGACTGACCCAGTGCCACACACAGAGGCACTGACATAGAACAAAGGGAAGCTGCTTTATTTCTCCTGGCCATACTTCTGATTTCTACTGTGAATTTGCTGCAGCTTATAAACAAAATTTCATAAAAGAAGTCACGTGGCAGCAGCACACATTCCCCCTTCTGACTGCATTTAAACATGATCAAGTTTTTCCACGTCCGTTTCCCAGGACAATAAAACTCCATAGAGTTTCATCTCAAAACACAATGTTTGAAAAACTGAAAACAAGAAGATAAAAATGAACAGTTATACTCTGCTAATACACTGCACTCATTACAACCAGCATTGGAAGTTCCATCCTAGAAGTAGGAAATATTTGGGAGGTGCTCCACTGACCAGCTAGCTTTATTAGGACAAAACACAATGCATCACAGGAGACAATAATTCATTTTTATACATACACATTTTCCCTGGACCCCACAGACAGCATTATCATCAGGATGCCAGCCTTCCCCACCTAGTATCCCTTCCATCCCCTCATTAAATAACCTGCCCCACCAATTCACTGGCACACAAACCAACATCCAAACACAATAAAGTTTTATGTTGCAGCAAGCAACCATCATTGCCCTGAAAATTAAAGCCCAGGTACTTGTTGCTCATGCAAATTCAGTATAGGCTCAGTCGCACAGATGAGAAACCCCAATCACACAGAAGCTCTGCTCTCTGGGAGAGAATTGTAATTAAACATCAGTTTCCAGAATTTCTACCAGCCCATTTCTGTCTTCCATGTAGTCCACCCTAAGTGTGCAGGTTAGAAAGACAGCTATACTATGACTCTTCAAATCCTCTGTTACAGAAAACAAAATTAAAGAGAAGAAACTGCAGACGAGAATTAGAAGCATTGCAGTAAGTCACAAGAAGAGTGAGGAGAAGGCTGAATCAGAGCCTTCTGGGCTGTGTTGCTCAATCTCTTCACCCACATCAAGGGGAAGCCTCACCCTGCACAGTGCAGGACAGCCAGCCCTGCCCCACGCAGGCGCTGCAAAACAACAAGAAGCCCCCGCCCCAAACAGCCACAGCACCCCAAGCACGGCAGAAGGGCTCTCCAGTGCTCTTGTGCAACACAACACCTAAGAAGGAGGGTAATCACAGGCATATAAGCATGCAGAGCAGCCTGGAGGAGAAAGCAGGAGCAAAGCAAAACACTAAGGAAGTCTGCTGTCTCCCAACACAAACTCAGGGCTTTTGGACTTTCCACTGCAGGGCAGACCCACTGCTGCCTTGTGAGCAAGGTGGAGTGGCTGTAGGAAGCCTCCTCTCCATCCACACTCCACCTCCGATGAGAATGGAAACTGGCAGCCTTCCCGAGGCCCACGGAAGCTGTTTCCTTGCAGCATTGTCTCGGGAAGAGTTCAGCACTGTGTCGGTCACTGCATTCATTCACCCCGCACTTCAGCAAACAGGCTTTCCTTGCACTCACAACTTCGAAAGAATGGGGAGGGGCAGGAAGAAAATAAACAGAAAGTTTCGATACTTAATCACTTCCATGGAGAAGGTCAGAGTGAGGATCCTTCTCAGGTCCTGTCAAGAGGACCTGGAAGCCCAATATATTTCAGGCACTGTAACAAGCTAACAGAACACAGGAAAACCGTATCATGGAAATCATCATAGAAAGGCTTGGGTTGGAATGGACCTTAAAGATCATCTAGTTCCAGCCCCACCCCACCATGGGCAGAGCACAAAAATCAGGACATAAAAAGCATTTTCATGCAACAGTTCAAATTCAAAGTTTATGACACGAGAGAAAAATCTCTTGCACAGGTCTACTGGGAACAGAGTTTTCCTTGTAGGCAGTATCAGTAAGGCTCTACACACTTTGTTGCTTTGCATTTTGTGTAGTTGGAGGGTGGGGCTTTTTTAATTATTTTTTTTACTCCCCTGAAAAATGCCATGCCACAGCATGCTGCCAAAAGGGAAAGCAAACAAGCAGAACCCACAGAAGCACGGGGTACCTCAGTGGCATCTGGCAGCAGAGAAATGCAGAGTCCTTCACAAACAGTAATGAATTAACTTTTACAGGGCATCCAAAGAAGTGGAGGAGGGGACTATGTGACACAAAGGCAGCAACTATTTTTTTTTCCTCTCAAAAAGCTAAGTCAGGAGGAGTCTTGTGTGAGTACTTGCTACTACAAGAGACTTGAATATTTGAGGTCTTGCCATACACTGCATCTCAGAGGCCATTTTGACTTTTTATTTGCCTTCTGTGACACAACTACACCAATACTGGAATTGGCTTTTTTTAGAGGATTTACAGGAAAATGAACAAGTGTTATACTGAAGCAAAGCACAAGGGAAGAAGCCTGTTTTAATCAAAATACTGGCTTTGGACACTGCTGGTTTCTAGGAAAATGGTTTTGAGTTTCCTGAAGTGGTGGGAAAGGGTTAGTACGAAACCAAAAAAATCAGGAGAAGAAAAAAAAGATTAAAAATTGAAGCCACACCCCTATGCCCAAAATTGCCACAGGGGACACTGAGATGAAGCCCAGCAGGCTGCAGCACCTGTCACTGACATGGTTACCAGCTTTGTACTTTCCTGCTAAGCTAGAAATGTAGCCTGTCATGGTACTATACCAACCATCAGCTAGACACTGCTAATCATCTAAGGCAGAGGAGTGCCCCATGCTTTTGCAACAGATATATACACACATCCAGAAAGAGCTGAGTTGTTTGCTACCAGAGCATCCTTGCCATGGATGCAAATCTTGCAGCATCAGGGTTTAGAGTGAGCCCCACACCTAAAACACACAGGGATAGTCAGAGAGGCTTGATGACTGCTGTGCTAATTGAGGGCTGGGGAAGCCTGGGGTTATTTAATCAAGTGGTTCCCAACAGACTCCTCTCCTCCAAACAACAGTTTTTTAACGTTCTTCAAAACAGACACAGCATCAAAACAAGCCAAGGTCTCTGGGCACATAAAATCTATGCCACAGCCAGCTGGGAAGTTTGGCACCTCAAAGAAGAGCCAAGAAAGGATTGGACAAAGCAGCCTTCCACACAGAGCTGGCTTTGCCTTACCAGCTGTCTCCAGTCTACAATTGCGTCAAGCTTATCTAGTGCAAGAGATGCTGAGGTCTCCTGGAGTGCTGAGCTGCTCATCCACAACACTTCTTACTCCCTAGCAGTGCTGTCAGCTCACACCCAACAGACTTCTGTGCCTTCTCCTACCTTACAATCACATCTCCCTCCTAGAAAATCCCCTTTCCTTCTCATACTCTTTTGCTAGAGCACTGACGCAGAGCTGGGGCTCCAGTG